AGTCTATAGTCTAGTCTATAGTCTAGTCTATAGTCTAGTCTATAGTCTAGTCTATAGTCTAGTCTATAGTCTAGTCTATAGTCTAGTCTATAGTCTAGTCTATAGTCTAGTCTATAGTCTAGTCTATAGTCTAGTCTATAGTCTAGTCTATAGTCTAGTCTATAGTCTAGTCTATAGTCTAGTCTATAGTCTAGTCTATAGTCTAGTCTATAGTCTAGTCTATAGTCTAGTCTATAGTCTAGTCTATAGTCTAGTCTATAGTCTAGTCTATAGTCTAGTCTATAGTCTAGTCTATAGTCTAGTCTATAGTCTAGTCTATAGTCTAGTCTATAGTCTAGTCTATAGTCTAGTCTATAGTCTAGTCTATAGTCTAGTCTATAGTCTAGTCTATAGTCTAGTCTATAGTCTAGTCTATAGTCTAGTCTATAGTCTAGTCTATAGTCTAGTCTATAGTCTAGTCTATATCTAGTCTATAGTCTAGTATATAGTCTAGTCTATAGTCTAGTCTATAGTCTAGTCTATAGTCTAGTCTATAGTCTAGTCTATAGTCTATAGTCTAGTCTATAGTCTAGTCTATAGTCTAGTCTATTGTCCTGTCTATAGTCTAGTCTATAGTCTAGTCTATCGTCTAATATATAGTCTATAGTTTATAATATAATCTATTGATAGATATATATCTAAGTGTATAATCTAGAATATAGTTTAGTTTAGAACTCAATATATAGTGAAGTTAACGATTCCAAAAAAATTATTTTTATAATCTGTTTACTACATAATTCCTAACAAAAACTAATTCCTAATTTAATTAAAAAACTTTTACTAAACGATTTAAAACAATGTTTGTTTTTCTAAACACTTTAGAAATGTACGTAAATAAATAAAAAACACAATATTTGCAAATAGAAAATTGGCTTTAGTCAAGGCAACAAATAGAATTATATATTGAAAACCCCTCCCCTAAAACAGAACCCCTTGAACTTGTTCGAAAAAAAAAAACGAAATGTACAAAAAACACCTCTTATTGCGCAAATAGTAGTAGTATGTAATATGAAAAACAATTGATTTCCTTTATTTCAATTGATTTTCATTTTATGTTTTATACTAGAAAAGAAATAAATTATTTAGTTTTCTTTTAAAATAGGAAAAACTAAAAAGTATACAACAACTATGTAGTGGTTTCCTTAAAAACAAAGTATGGCAATAAAAACAAAACTTTTATTATTGAGGTGGCAACTTTTAAGAAAGAGGGTTATCTTACATTTTTTAGTTGTCTGGTAACTTGTTTAAACTTTACTAATTAGTTAAAAGCAGTGTTGTCATCTCTGTATATATTCAAAATTTTAACGTTTTTCTTTTCACAAAAAGTAGTTGTTTTAAAAATTTCAAAAATATATAGGTCAGTTTGGATTTCCTTGTTTGCAAACAATAATATATTTATACATTATATTACATATAAAATTTCTATTGTCTGAATGAATTTCTTTAAGATTTTTATATTTTCAATTTCTTATTCATGTGTTTTATTTTATTATTATTTCATGAAATAAAACTTTTAATAACACACACCCACGTAAGTAGAAAATAACAAAAAAAAAAAAAAAGAATTTAGTGTCAATTTCAAATTATATTTGATTTAATGACGTCATAGCTCTTTTGAAATGAATTCTAACGTCTGTTTCATTCTTTGTTTTTTTGTATTGTTATTATTTTGTTATTTAAGTGTTTAGTTCTTAAAGGTTGTTTTTTCTCATACATAAAACCTAAGAGACCATAAATAATTTGTATCGATAATCCATATTATTTACACACTATATATTTCTTGTTTTTTTTTTTTCTATAATATTTTTACAAAATGGCAAAATAAAAAAAGTTTTATTTTATATCTTATTGCACGCAATATTTTTTTGTGCGGTTTTTATGAAAAATATTTTTATAGTGTTACGAGAAGTTCTTTTATTTGCACTTGAAAGCTGAAAGAAGAAAAAAAAGGGCAGCAGCAAGAAAATTGTTGTATGTATTTTAATAACTTTTACTTTTTTCCCTTGAAGTTTTGTAAGTTATAAAATCAAATAAATAAATATATTTTAGCCATAAAGAAGAAAAAATTCTAATAAAATGAAACTAAATTCTGTTGCCAAGTTAAAAATTGTGTGTGGAATTGGAAAGAGGCAACACTAAAAATGTGTTGGTTTATTCGTTGTGTATTAGGGGTAATCACAGTGTGGGGTAACGTATGTGTAATGAGAGGGTTGGAAATTTACGCAATGTATCAAATTGTTTGGGTAGAATTCATATCATAAACTTTAGATATCGGTAAGTATTAGAAAACATTTTATATATTACATAGTCTAATCTAAAAAATGTTATATTGTGTAATGTTGTAACGTTAAAGGTTTAGTCTAATCGATAGACTAGTTTTTTGTCCAGTCAGGAAACTAGTCGTAAGTCTAGTCGAGACAAGAGTCTAACTAGTAGAGAGCCAAGTCTTTAGTATAGTCGTAAGACTAGTCTAAATTATAGTCGAGACAATATTTTACGATCTACTCTAACGGATTAAGAGACTAGTATTTACTCTAGTCGAAGATCTAGTCTATTATCTAGGCGAGATGCCTGTAGTGAAACAAGTCTACAATCTACTAGAAAGACTAATAGCATAGTCTAGTCAGGAGAGTAGTAAATAATTAAGTTAAGAAATTAGTCTATAGTCTAGTTGAGAAACAAGTCTATAGTATGGTCGAGAGACTGATCTATAGTCTAGTCGAAAGACCAGTCTAGACACTAGCTAATTAAAAGTCTTGGTGAGAGATTAGTCTATTATCTAGTCAAGAGGCTAGTCTCTGTCTAGTCGAGAGATTGATTAGTATATAGTCAAAACCTATAGTCTATAGTCTAGTAGAGACACTAGTCTATAGTCAGGTGGAGGGACAATTCTATAGTCTAGTAGAGAATCTAGTCTTTAGTCTGGTCGAGAGACTAGTCTATAGTATGGTCGAGAGACTGATCTATAGTCTAGTCGAAAGACCAGTCGAGACACTAGCTAATTAAAAGTCTTGGTGAGAGATTAGTCTATTATCTAGTCAAGAGGCTAGTCTCTGTCTAGTCGAGAGATTGACTAGTATATAGTCAAAACCTATAGTCTATAGTCTAGTAGAGACACTAGTCTATAGTCAGGTGGAGGGACAATTCTATAGTCTAGTAGAGAATCTAGTCTTTAGTCTGGTCGAGAGACTAGTCTATAGTATGGTCGAGAGACTGATCTATAGTCTAGTCGAAAGACCAGTCGAGACACTAGCTAATTAAAAGTCTTGGTGAGAGATTAGTCTATTATCTAGTCAAGAGGCTAGTCTCTGTCTAGTCGAGAGATTGATTAGTATATAGTCAAAACCTATAGTCTATAGTCTAGTAGAGACACTAGTCTATATTCAGGTGGAGGGACAATTCTATGGTCTAGTAGAGAATCTAGTCTTTAGTCTGGTCGAGAGACTAGTCTATAGTCTATAGTGTTGGTGAGAGGCTAGTCTATTTTCTAGTAGAGAGTCTATAGTCATGGTGAGAGACTATTGTAGACTCTTAACGAGGCACTTTTCTATTATCTAGTCGAGAGACTAATTTAAACTCAAGACACTAGTATATAGTCTACTACAGAGCCTTTTCTATAGTCTAGTGGAGAGACTTTTCTATAATCTAGTCGAAAGACCAGTCTATAGTCTAAGCGAGAGACTAGTCTGTAGTCAAGTCGAGAGAATAGTCTATAGTCCAGTCGAGAGACTAGTCGATAGTCTAGTCGAAAGATTAGTTCTAGTCGGCAGAATAGCCTCTATTCTAGTCAAGAGACTACTAGTCCCTAGTCTAGTCTAATAGCCTCTATTCCAGTTGAGAGACTAGTCCCTAGTCGAGTCTATAGTCTAGTCAAAAGGCTAGTCTATAGCCTAGTTAAGACACTAGCCTGTAGTCTAGTTGAGAGTTTAGTTTATAGTCTAGCTGAGAGACTAGTCTACACTCTAGCAGAGCACTAGTCTATAATCTAGCCGAAAGACTAGTCTACAGTCTACTCCAAAGGCTAGTCGAAATACTAGTCTATAGTCGAGAGATTAGTATATCGTCTTGATGAGAGAATAGTCCCTAGTCGAGAGACTAGTCTATAGTATATTCAAAAGACTTGTCTACGGTTTATTCGAAAGACTAGTGGATAGTTTAGTAACTAGTCGAGAGACTAATATTATTGGTAGTCTAGTCGAAAGACTAGTCTATAGTCTAGTCGAAAGACTAGTCTATAGCTTAGTTGAGAGACTAGTCTATAGTCTAGTTGAGATACTAGTCTATAGTCTAGTTGAAAGACTAGACTAGACTTAAACCCTTAAATGTTTACAAAGAAATATCGCTGGGGTTGGTTTTCATCTATAAAACACGTAATAAAAAAATTTTATTATAAAAAGTATTTTTCTTTTTATATCTCAAAAATATGAAGTGCTTAAAGATAATTTATGTATGTAGTCAGTGTATTTAAGCACAGATAAGTTCTAGAGCTTGTATAAAAATGTTAACAAAATTATTAATAGTTATCAAAAAGGAAAAACATGGAAACATGATGATTAAATAAAACTAATATAAATTGTTAACAATGTGATTTATTTTCTATTTCTTTTGCTGAACAAAATTATAGTAATAAACTAATAAATTTTATATACTACAGAGGTATGGACTTTCTTAGAAAGCTATAGAATCAAATTGTGGGGTTTTAAAGCCAATATTTCGAATCGCTAGCTTTTCTTTATAATTATATGCCTAACTTTTTAAAACTTTGAACATTGAAAATTTCTTTAATTACTTTATTTAAACTTTAATACTTGACAAGTTAAAAAAAAAGTAAATTTATTTAAAGTTGCAATTGTTGATTAAATTGATGATATTTAGTTAAGATAACATAAAAATTATATTATATTTGTTTAAAAAAAAAGTAAAACAGAGCAAAGATTAATAGAAAATATAAAAAAACTTACCCTGATTGTCGTGGTTCACGTCGTTGCATTTCGTTTACAACGACCACAGCAAAAAATCAACGATAACGTTAACGACGACGTCTATATTTATGATGTGAGATTGTTTCAGCAACAAAAAAAAAAATCCGAAAAAAAGGAGAGCGAAGAAGAAATTAATAAAGTAGATAACGTGGTTTTGTTTTAAAGTTTTTTTTTTTCACTAGTAAATATTAACTGTTATTCACTGCGAATTGTTAAACCCATTACTTCTTCACTCATTCATTTGTTAAGTGACATTTATATGAACCGTTTTAAGCAAATTTTATTTTTTTTTTCTAAAGATTTTCTTTAATAAACTATAGGATAAAAATTAAATGCATTTATTAAAATTTAAAAAGAAAATAATGAAGTTTAATTAATTCTTTTTCAAAAACACACGCACTTTTTTATTAGTTTTTTTTTTTTCACTTGTTTTGTTGTTGCTGTTATTTCTTTTGTTTGTCTTTTTGTGTTTGTTTTGTTTTTACACTTGTTGTACTGATTTTTTAGAGTACGATGTGTCAAATTGGTCGTTTGTTTTTCTTTTCTTTTATTTATGTTGTTGTAGTTCTTTAGTAGTATTGTTGTTAGTATAATGAAGAGTAATTATTTTATATTTTTTTAATTTGCTTTAAGGATTGCAAAGAGTAAACATTTATTTTGTTTTTTTTTCTATATACACAATGTTAGCGTTAAAACGGCTGACCACACATTATTTTATGTTGAGTATATTATTTAATTTAATTTTTATAAGTTAAAATTTAACACAAAAAAAAATTTGAAAAGAAAATTATATTATTTATCATAAACATGTTCAATTCACGTATTTGTTTTATTACAGGATTTATTTACACTTGATTTTTTTTTATTTTTTGTTTATAACGTGTTCGGCGTTTATTTTTTTATTTTTGGCGTTTTCTTGCTTTAATTTTGTGATTTTTCTTATGGAGAGTTAATTGCACTTGAGGCCCCTTTCTTTTTTTGTTTGTTTTTGTAAAGGTGTGATGAGTAGGTAAAGTACTGCCATGAAAATATTTCATAAATGCTAGAAGAAATTGTGGGAAAATGAAAAAACGATTAGCTAAAGTGTATTTTAGTTTAAAATTTTAAATAAATTTTATGTTAAGAAAAGAATCTAAAATATATTTATATAAAAAATCTAACTCTTTATTTAAAACTCTTAGTGGAGAAGCTATAAGATTACAATGAGGTTAGGAGACTTGTCGCTCAAATATTTTAGTCTAGTCGAAAAATTAGTCAATAATCTAGCCGAGAGACTAGTCTATAGTAGTCGAGAGACTAGTCTAAAGCCTAGTGGAGTTACTAGTCTACAGTCTAATCGAGAGACTAGTCAAAATACCAGTCGACAAGTTGAGAGACTTGTCTAAAGTCTGGTCGAGGTACTAGTCTATAATCTAATTTTAAGTCTAATCTAGTCTAGTCGAAATACTAGTCTAATCGAGAGAATAATCGAATTAAAAGTTTATAGACTGTAATCTAGTCGAGATATTAATCTATAGTCTAGTCGAAATACTAGTCGATGGTCTAAGCAGGAGACTAGTCGAAATACTAGTTTATAGTCTAGTGATTAGTATATAGTCTTGTCTAGAGACTTGTCTATTGTATTGTCGAGTGACTAATATATAGTCTATTTTCTATAGTGTAATCGAGAGACTAGTCTATAGCTAGTCTCTCTAGTCAAGAGATTAGTCTATAGTCTAATTGGGAAACTAGTCTATAGCCTAGTTGAGATACTTATCAATAGTCTAGTCGAGAAACCAGTCCATAGTCTAGTGAAGATACTAGTCCATAGTCTAGTCGAGAAACTAGTCTATATTCTAGTCGACTAGTATATAATCTAGTCGAAAGACTAGTCATTTCTCCAATTGTAGTCAATTTTCATTAAAAAGCACGTATAACGTTTACGTTTGTTTTTCTTAGGTTTATTTATGTTGCGTTCAATGTCAAACTATCATTTTCATGTGAATGCCCATTTTTCAAGTTGAAAGAAATAAGAAGAATATTTTTATGAAGTAAACATAAAAAAGTAATTTTAGGTGAAATAAAAAAAAAAGAATAATTCATACTACTTTAGTTTTTAAATTTAATTTAATTTTAATAAATATTGGAATTTTTTTTTATTTTTTTTCTAATATAAAAATACAATTTCTGTTCCCAAGAAGAATTCGTCAAGATTTAAGTGATTAACCAATTTAATTGGAAAATTCCCTTTTAAACATAAAAAAACTTCTTAAAATCAACAATATTGTTTTGATAATTTTAAAGATTTTCAATAAATTTGTGTTTTTTTTTAAAGAAAATCTAAAAATAAACTAAAACACCTGAAAGAGTCAAATAACTCATAAACACTCAATTAAAAGAGATTAATTTCTTGTTGTTATTGTTATTTTTATACACATTCTCCCACTTTTGGCAGCTCACTCAAAACAATTATGACAGTTAATGAGCAAAAGAGAGAAAACAACCCAAAAAGAAAACAAAAAAAAAGGAGCAAAATAATAGTACTCATTATGTTTTGACATTTCATTTTGCAGTGTTTTTTGTTGTTGTTGCTTTTCTTTCAATAAGAAAACGAGACAGGCGTGACTTTAATAAATCAACACAATGCTAAATATAAACACTTAACAAACAAGTAAAAGAGAGATAACTATAGGCTAGCGAAATTAAAAAAAGAGCGTATGACATAAAAAGAAAACTTTTATTAAAGGGGTCTTCTCAATGTGTGTATATAAATATGAGTATGAGTGATTGAGTGTGTATGTAATACACTTATGAAAGTGTATGATTGCTCATTGATTTTCAAAATTGTGTGATTTTAGTAAAATTATTTTCCTTTTTCTTTAAGTTTGAAACAATTTTAAAGCATTTTGATTACAACCAAACTTTATAGATGTTCGTTTTATTAAACCACACTTTTTTAACTATATTTCTTTTGTTTTTTTTTCTATTATAGACACCAAGAAAAAATTTAGGCCACTGTTAAATGAAAAAAACTACAACACAAGTCTGCTGTTCTTTTTTATTTTTATTTGCTTTTCTAACCTTTCAATTTGTTTCTTTTTTTATACTTTTGTAGTTAAATACTTCAATTAGCTTTATTTTAAAGTTGTATCTTTTAGTTTTTATGCTAATTTAATAACAAAATTTTTTATATTTTTTCACACACGGCAGTCAGTCAGACATTCGTCAGGGGTGTAGTTTATTTTCTTTCTGCACTTATTCTTTTTTTCCAACATTTTACACTTATTTTCTTTCTATGCTAAAAAATAATACGAGACACTCTCTCTTAATCGTGCATTATGCTCTTTTAAGTTGCTTTTGTTTAAGTTACTCAACACTAACTAATTAAAGGAGTTGCCATATATGTATATATTTTTACCAAAAGGGTTTTTTGATTTGTAGGGATATTCTGATGGGAAAAATGTTAAGTATACAATTCCTATTCACTATTCACAAAGAGCTGTAAATTTTTATTAAAATCAATCAACCCTTAACTTATTTTATAATTCTTTTAAAATTAAACCATATTTAAAAATTTCAGAACGATTTCAGTATTATCAGTTTATAGTTGAAACAAAAAGTAGACAGACCTTTTGCAAGTAAAAAAAAGTCTTTTAAATTTATGAAGAAAATTCCGACTAATTTCGATTTTCCGACATTTTTTATTACATAATAGTTGATTTACCGACTTTTTGAACAAAATAATAGACTTCAGTAAGAAGTTAATTGTTTCAAAGTCGATTTATAGGATCCTACTTCTATAGTGGGGATTGTCATAGAAACCAATAATTATCGGAACTAGATTTGAAAGCTGCAAAAATCACCACCATTTATAATCGAGCAAAAAACCAGAAATATACGATTTAATAAAACCAATGTATATTTTAGTCGTTTTTAAAACCAAATCCAGCAATGATTGGGATAAGTGGAAACAAAAAGTCGACATATAATGTCGATTTTTCGACGTTTTACTTTTTTGATTTTGTCAACATTTTTTTTTTTTTTTAATCGACATTTATACTTTTTAACTTTTTTGGACTTTAGATGTTATTTATGCTTATTTGCAAATTAAAAAATTACCAAGTTTTTAATTAAAGTTAAAAAATAAATCAAATGTAAAATTAGTTCCTCTACGCATTTGGCCGGTTGCTTCAGCCATCGCATCGGGAACCCATACGCAAAATTTTAGGAAATGAGAATGAGATGGAAAGACCGGCTACATAACCAATAATACATCGCGGACTTGAATAGAGAAATATTCTTCCATTTTTGTGATCATTCGAAAAAGGACTAAACATTTTGTCAAATAAGCTGGATTAGAACGCTTGATTCAGGCGAAAATCATATCTATCCACACCTTCATTTAAATAATAGGATTTTTGTGGAATATTTCTCTTAAGAAAATAGGAATTGAAAAATAAAATCCCAATTGGTAACACTTTAACAAAAACAAGGAGTTGCCACTTGACAAATCAGCAACCAGTGTTGCGAAAAATATGACAATTTTAATCAACACATTTTAGTAAAATATATTATTTTCTAAAAATCTATTTAAATAATTAAAAAACTTTCTAATGTATTAGATAAATACTTCTTTACATATTTCTTTTTTTAATTTCATAAACATTTTAAGAAAATGTTAAGTCTTAGCTAACAAAAAATAAATAGAAACATAAAATCCCATTGATAGACAATGCATATTATAGTTACCACTTTATAAAGCCGGTAGCCCAATTTTAATTTTTTATTTCTTTTACAAACACTGTTCTAAAACATATTTTTTTCAATATTTTATAAAAAGATCTTCTAGTAGTTTTTATTTAAGTTTAAATTTATTAGATTTTCTTTCTTGTTGTAAATTTTTCTTTTATACACTTGTTTTCCATTGAATTTTCATTTCGTTTCGTTTTTTTTTTTCACAAAATATCTTAGTAATTTTTCTGTATGTACAACACTTTTCTTTATTCTCTACACTAGCGTCATCTCTTTCACTCTTTTACGGATTTAATAATAAAACACTCCGTTTTTGGTGTATAACGTTATTGTTGTTGTTACATCAAACTTATATATCGAACCACAGCAAAGAAAAAAAGTGACCCAAGTAAAAAAAAAGAAATATAAAGAAAACGAGGAAGTTGAAATTTTCTCTGATCTTTTTTTGTAATATAACTACACCTTTTTGTTTTCGAATTTATTTTGTTTATTAATTTCAATAATTTATTATTACCGTCGTTTGTTTTTTAATAGTTTTTATAATTTTTCTGGTCTTTAAAGACCGAAAAATACAAAATTTATCTACCACAATGCAAAATCAGCAGACACAACTGTCTTGGCCACAGTTGCCAGCGTTGTCTACTTTAAGATTTCAAAAAGCACCAAATTGAAAAAACGCGTATTTCTCGTAAAAAAGCAACAAGAAAAATATTTTTCAATTTTCAAAGAAAAAATGTTTTATATACTATAAAAAATTCTTATTTATTCTAAATTCGGTAGATTTATAATGATGAACAATGATGAAGTCCTGAAAATAATGCAATATTTCTTAATATTTTAAAAGCCTGTTTTTATACCCTATACCCCTATAGTGGGCTTGCTATGATTTTTCTAAATCTTGTAATCAAACAAAAGGTCGTAATGTTCAAGATAATTTGATAAATCCTATTGAAAATCGGTCTATTAGTTCACCTAGCCCCCATGCAATTGTGCCTCCACTCCTAGGAAGAGAAAAACGTTTTCATCTAAAACACATAGAACCCATTATTTTAAAATCATTAATTTCTTAGAAAAAAAAAATTACTGTTTCGATGTTAAATTTTTTCGCGTCGAAAAAGCACTTCGTTGACAACGCAGACAGTTGACAACAGAAATCTGGGTCGACGAAATGTTTATATGAACGGCGTTTGCAAGTGCAAGCAACAACGCCGGCTTTTAGCCAACCAATAAGAATAAGCAAAAGCTTGGAAAACATTAAATTTAAATGAACGAAACTCAATATTTTATCGACTTTTTTTAGAGAATATTCTTTAAAAAAGTCAGTGTTAATTTTTTAACTATCTTAGCGGACTAGATTTCTTTGAAAATGTTATTAAAAACCTAACGACGGCTAAACTTTTTTCATTCGACATATCAGGAAAGAGAATGGAAGAAAATTTGTAAAAAAAAGTTGCCATATAATTTAGGAAAGAAAATCGCGAAATAAAATACATATAGATTTCTTTACGAAATAATTACACAATTACTAAAATATTTTCCTAAATTATAGTCAATACATTATAGTCTAGACCCTATATCATTTACTTTTATGATCACTTCCCTAAGAATTAAATAAAAAGTAAAAGATTGTAAACAAATAACTGCACTACCCTCATATTTACACTGCATTACCTGCTTAACTTTTCATACAGTTCATACACAATGATTGCAATTGCCGCGGCTTTAATTACACAAAAAATCTATTGATTATCATTAATATTAGAGTTTTATAGTAATATAAATTTGTAAAAATAAAAAATAATTGCTGAATCTTTAAAAAAATCAACAATATTTAAACAAAATATATTACCTCTATAATTTTAAACATTACCTTTGTGGTTGTCGCCTTTACTGTATTCCAACTTAACAATTGTTTTCATTAAATGCATCTCTGTGTTTACATTTTTTTCACTCAATTTAAGAGAGCAATGATTGAGTGATTTTCATTCCTTTTTAACTACACGTGCGTAACAAGTTGATTTTTTAAAAATTTTGTGAAAATTATTGAATATTTTTCTTTAAAAATATGACTAAAACTAAAAAATCTTTAAATAAAAAGGTATATATTATAATATTTTATAAATTAAAATCAGAGAAATAAAAAATCTATTTCATTTTTATAGAATTCTTTACAAAAACCATCAAAAATGTTGGTGACCAAAAAGAGCGCTGTAAAAAAACCACAGCAGCAGGAATCTGATGATGAAATGTTGCTGGATAATGAGGGCTACGATTCTATGATAGAAAATGGTACCAGTGAGGAAAGTGATAGTGAAATTGAGCAACAGAACGAGCAGCCCTCCGAAGATGAAGAGGAGGAAGAAGAAGATAGTGGTAGTGATGATGGTTTTTCGGACAAGGAAGAAGAGGAAGAAGAAAAACAAACGTTGGTCCAAGCCACAAAAAGAAAGCCTGCCGAGGGAGTAGAAGTAAAGCCAAATAAAAAAGCTAAAGGCAATAATCCCTTTGCCCCGGAAAAAATAAAAGCTCCCACTTTGGAGGAGATAAACGAATTGAAAGAGACACGCAATCTTTTCCACTCCAACATCTTTCGTCTGCAAGTTAAGGAAATGTTGCAAGAAGTTAAGATTAAAGATAAATATAACAATTACATCAACACTTTTATGGAACAGTTTAAGAGTTTTGTGAAAAGTTTAAAAAATCAGACGGAAAAACAAGATATTGATAAATTAATGTGGCTTAAGAAATCCCAGCTAGCGGTACCTATTAATCTACAAGCCTTAAAAGTGCAGCAACAAAAAATATTCCAGTTTCAGTTCATTAAACCCACCACAGAACCATTTTTATTGGGAGCCTGTAATACACAGACTTTGTTGGGTCCCAAATTGCAGGCAGATATAGCTGTCCTCATGCCGGAGGAATGTTGGCAAAAGGAAAATTATCTTAATCTACAGTATGATCAGAAAAGAGCATATTATTTGACTTATTTAACACAAAAACTATTGGAATCTAAACTAATAGCTGGTTTAAAGGAGGAGCATCTTAAATTCAATTATTACAACAATAATCCCTTGAAACCGTTCTTGGAAATTACTCCCCCAGCCGAGGCGGGCAAAAATTTGTCACAAAAATTAGCTATACGTATTTTTATAGGCTGTGAGCAAAACTCCTTTAAACTTAACCGTTTTGTACCCTGGAATAATAACATACGTTCTAGCCTGTTTGATAGCACCGATGACGACTCAGCACCCTTAGCCACACCCAATTATAATGCCAATATATTATTTGATTTGACAATGCATGCAAATCAAAAGCTTCTAAAGGAAGTATTTGAGCAACATAAAAACTTTCAGGAGGGTTTAGTGCTACTCAAGGTATGGCTGCGTCAACGCCAGCTAGATGTGGGTTATGGTGGTTTTAATGCCCATATGTTAGCCATGTTTATAGCGTATTTATTTAAGCAACGTAAATTGCATAGCAATATGAGCAGTTATCAGGTGGCCCGTAATGTTTGGAATCATTTGGGTGAGTTCAATGAAAAAAACTTTTCTTTAAATTAAATTTTTTGTTATATGTATATCATTTATTTAGCTTTTTCCTCCTGGCATGAAAACAACAAGGGTATTACTTTGTGCAACAATACCGTCGCTATAGCCAATCAACCAACATTGGAACAATTTCATGCCTATTATCCTGTAGTATTCATCGATGTTACCGGCTTTTACAATATCTGTTCGAATGTTAGTCTTGATGTTTATAAGAGAATTTGTTTGGAGGCTAAATTGGCGGTGGACATGTTGAACGATATGAAATTGAATAGTTTCCAATTGTTGTTTATGTCCAAATTGCCGCTTTATTCACAAATGGATCATATTTTGAAGTGAGTTGAGTATATTTTTTTATTTTCACTAAAAAATTTCACCAAATACTTTCTTTCAAATTTTCACCAAATAATTTTTTTTCTCTTATATCAATTTTAGAATCAACAATCCCGATGCTATAGAACAAATCCTTGAAATGCATGTAACACCAGCTGACAAATACAATTATGCCGGCTATGCCTATCCACAACTATTGAAAGTAGTTACCAGGTATGAAAAATCTGTTAAACACCTTTACAATTAATTAATTTACCAAAATATTTACCCTTAATTCCCTTAGTCTGCTGCAAAAAGGTCTCTCTAAACGTGTAGAATTTATGTTACCCCTAGAACAATTGACCACACCCTGGAGTGTTAATGAATCTGCCGCTGCTGCTCCACAACATCTTCACCTAGGTCTAATCCTCAATCCTGAACAGGCCTACGAAATACTCGACAAAGGTCCTGAATCCATAGATGATGAAGCCGCTAAATTCCGTGCTTTCTGGGGAGAAAAGGCTCAATTGAGACGTTTTCAAGATGGCAGCATAACCGAGTCCGTGGTATGGGCTGCTGCCAGTGATGATCTCAGCAAGAAACGTTTAATAGTGCGCAGTATTGTTTTGTATTTGTTGCAACATCATTTCCAACTCGAAGACAAGGATGTGGAATATATAGCTGGTGAATTTGAGTCCGTAGTTGAGTTGACAAAATCTTTCAAAGTGGACAATTTAAGATTGAATAAGCAAAAATTAAACCAAGACACTAATGCGGAAGCTACCGCCCTGCAGGTGATAAGAGAATTTGATGATTTGGCTAGAAAATTGAATGGTTTAAAGGAATTGCCTTTGGAGATTGTATCTATAGCGGGTATATCACCAGTTTTGCGGTATTGTGAACCACAACCTATTTTACCCAGGGCCAGGTGTATTAAGGAGCAACTTTTCTCGGATCATATACAGTATGGAGTTATACAATTGGGTAAGAAATATTTCACTAAAAGTGTTAAATAAAATTTTTAATGAAATTTCACTAAAAATTTCAACAAAAACTTTCACTAAAATTTTTCGCTAAAAATTTCACAAAAATATCAATTACAATTTTCACTCAAAACTTTCAACAAAAATTTTCAGTAAAAATTTATACAATTGCGTAACGAATATTTCGCTTGAAGTTTTCACCTACAATTTTCTCCTAAAAATTTTCACCAAAAATATTACCAAATATGTTTTACTAAAAATTTTTTACTAAAAATTACACCAAAAATGTTTCACTAAAAATTTCACCATGTTTCACTAAAAATTTCACCATGTTTCACTAAAAATTTCACCAAAAATTTTCACTAAAAATTTCACCAAAATTTTCACTAAAAATTTCACCAAAAATTTTCACTAAAAATTTCACCAAAAATTTTCACTAAAAATTTCACCAAAAATTTTCACTAAAAATTTCACCATAAATGTTTCACCAAAAATTTTCACTAAAAATTTCACCAAAAAATTTCACTAAAAATTTCACCAAAAAATTTCACTAAAAATATCACCAAAAATTTTTTACTAAAAATTTCACCAAAAATTTTTTACTAAAAATTTCACCAAAAATTTTCACTAAAGATTTCACCAAAAATTTTCACTAAAAATGTTCACCATAAATTTTCACTATAAATTTTCACCATAAATTTTCACTATAAATTTTCACCATAAATTTTCACCTACAAGATTTCACCAAAAATTTTCACTAGAAATGTTCACATAAAAGATTCACTAAAAATTTATATCAAAAATTTTCGCCAATTGGGTAAGGAATATTTCACTAAAAGTGTTAAATAAAATTTCACTAAAAATTTCAACAAAAACTTTCACTAAAATTTTTCGCTAAAAATTTCACAAAAATATCAGTTACAATTTTCACTTAAAACTTTCAACAAAAATTTTCACTAAAAATTTATACAATTGGGTAACGAATATTTCGCTTGAAGTTTTCACCTACAATTTTCTCCTAAAAATTTTCACCAAAAATATTACCAAATATGTTTTACTAAAAATTACACCAAAAATGTTTCACTAAAAATTTCACCAAAAATTTTCACTAAAAATTTCCACTAAAAATTTCACCAAAAATTTTCACTAAAAATTTCACCAAAAATTTTCACTAAAAATTTCACCAAAAATTTTCACTAAAAATTTCACCAAAAATTTTCACTAAAAATTTCACCAAAAATTTTCACTAAAAATTTCACCAAAAATTTTCACTAAAAATTTCACTAAAAATTTCACCAAAAAATTTCACCAACAATTTTCACTAAGAATTTCACCAAAAATTTTCAATAAAAATTTCACCAAAAATTTTCACTAAAAATTTCACCAAAAAATTTCACTAAAAATTTTCACTAAAAATATCACCAAAAATTTCACCAAAAATTTTTTACTAAAAATTTCACCAAAAATTTTTTACTAAAAATTTCACCAAAAATTTTCACTAAAGATTTCACCAAAAATTTTCACTAAAAATGTTCACCATAAATTTTCACCTACAAGATTTCACCAAAAATTTTCACTAGAAATTTTCATATAAAAGATTCACTAAAAATTTATATCAAAAATTTTCGCCAAAAACTTGCCAAAAGTTTTTTCACTATTTTTTGGTCAAAATTTTCCTCAAAATTCATCACCAAAAATTTTCATTAAAAATGTTCACAAAAAATATTTTTATTGTCCTTAATTTACTTATTAAAACTTTTATTTATTTCCAGGACAAAGTGGCAAATGGCCAGGTGAACTGACCGCTTTGCGTGCTCTCAAAACTGCATTTTACATACAAATTGCCGAATTGGTGCAGGAAAAATACAAACTTCCCTGCAGAGTCACCTATGATGGTGTGATGATTTTAAAACAGGGCTATTGTTTCAATCTAGAAATAGCCCATCCCAAAGAGGTGGGTCTGCTGAAGAAGGAAAAAACCGATAAGGGTATAACAACTCATGTAGACTGTGCAGAAAGTATTGCTCTCGAGAAACGTCATTATATTTTACCCAAAGTAACGGGAGCCTTAAAGGCACTCTATCAGAATCATTCATCTTTTGGACCCACTGTTATGATAGCCAAAAGATGGCTATACAGTCAACTTATAGACAATGGTCTTTGGCCTGAAGAATGTACAGAATTGATGGTAGCTGCCCAATATTTGAAGACAGCGGCCAAGTGCATAACTAATTCACCACAAATTGGTTTTATAAGATTTCTGCAGTTGTTGGCCAATACGGACTGGAAATCGGAATTGTTTTTGTTGAATTTCAATAATGCTATGGAGGGTAATTATTAAGAATATAGTTTTTTACTTTTATAAAGAAAATAACTTTAATTTGCTTGTTTTAGAAACTGATATTTCCGACTTGGAACAACGTTTCTCTACCGAACGTGATACATTCCCGCCACTTTGTATTGTTACTTCTTATGATCAGAAACATTATGGCAAGATTTGGAGTACGGAACAGCAACCTAATGTTCATGTTTTAGCACGAGTTACTTTACTGGCCCGTCAGACTTTAGAAATTATAGAATCAACCCTTCTGTCTTCCTGCTTAACTTTCATAAAGCCGGCTAAAGTATTTAAGGCTCCCACGCAAGGTTACGACTTTGTTATACAACTGAAACCCGATCAAGTAACCAATACTTTAAACTTGGAATTTGGTTCATCCTTTGTGGAGTTTACCAAGCCCAATTGGCATATGCCTTTGGCTGGTAGTAATTTCGTAGCAAATGCTGTGCAAAAATTAAGGGTAATGTTTTTGTATTACCATTATCAAAAATTTTCAGAGATTAACAACTCCTTTTTTTCTCCTAACAGGAAGCCTATTCAGATTTTGCAGCCTTTTTCTATAATCCTTGTGGCGGCAAAGAGATAGCTGTCATTTGGAAACCTACCGCCTTCAATGCTAAGGAATTCAAAGTCAATGACGTCAATGGCTGCTCTTTAACATCGGACCACAAACGCGTGCAAGCTAAAAAAGAAGTTTTAATCGAAGATTTTAAATTCATTCTAAAAGATTTCTACTTACGCATGGGCTCTTTAGAGTTTATTCGACAGGCCAATGAACAGCAAACTCAAAATAAAACCCAAAACACAACCACTAACAAAGGTCGTTACTTTGGAGCAAACGACACGAAAGTGTCAGAAAATGGAAAACCCGCCTTTAAAAAGAAACCAGCCGTGTTAGCCACCAAAAGTAAACACCACAAGAAGCCTGCCATTGTCAGTAAAACCAACTCGGAATCAAAAGCAAAACCACAAATAAAAACTAAAGCAAAACCTCAATTAAAAACTAAAGTAAAATCAAAAAAAATTCTCAAAAAAACGGCGAAAAAATAAAATAATACAATAACTTAATAATGTAACATTATTGCATAGTTAATTTTGTTTAAGTAAATGTGTAAATGTTTATTAAATTTTTTAATAATACCCTAATGTTTCTGTATAGAAATTTTTATAAATTTAAAATTTTTAATTATAAATTGCGTTTTTCTCTTGTTATAATTTAGTTTACGTTAAATAGTTGAAGTTAAAGTTTAGTTTTTTCCTTTTCAGTTGTTCTCTAGCTCCTAATATTTCTTCTGATCTAGGACAACATTCATTTTGTTGTTCTTGGGTATTAGTATTTTTATTACATAGATTTTTAGAGCAGCAGCAACAGCAGGTCTTGTGCATATTTTCTTTTTTTCTGTCGTCTAGAGGTTGCCAGTTAATTTCCGTGGTTGATGTTCCTTGGGAGTAGGTCATAGGAAACTGGAAAATTTGAAGAAAACTATAGACTAGACTATAGACTAGACTATAGACTAGACTATAGACTAGACTATAGACTAGACTATAGACTAGACTATAGACTAGACTATAGACTAGACTATAGACTAGACTATAGACTAGACTATAGACTAGACTATAGACTAGACTATAGACTAGACTATAGACTAGACTATAGATTAGACTATAGACTAGACTATAGACTAGATTATAGACTAGACTATAGACTAGATTATAGACTAGACTATAGACTAGACTATAGACTAGACTATAGACTAGACTATAGACTAGACTATAGACTAGACTATAGACTAGACTATAGACTAGACTATAGACTAGACTATAGACTAGACTACAGACTAGACTATAGACTAGACTATAGACTAGACTATAGACTAGACTATAGACTAGACTACAGACTAGACTATAGACTAGACTATAGACTAGACTACAGACTAGACTATAGACTAGACTACAGACTAGACTACAGACTAGACTATAGACTAGACTATAGACTAGACTATAGACTAGACTATAGACTAGACTATAGACTAGACTATAGACTAGACTATAGACTAGACTATAGACTAGACTATAGACTAGACTATAGACTAGACTATAGACTAGACTATAGACTAGACTATAGACTAGACTATAGACTAGACTATAGACTAGACTATAGACTAGACTATAGACTAGACTATAGACTAGACTATAGACTAGACTACAGACTAGACTAGACTATAGACTAGACTAATAGACTAGACTATAGACTAGACTATAGACTAGACTACAGACTAGACTATAGACTAGACTACAGACTAGACTATAGACTAGACTATAGACTAGACTATAGACTAGACTATAGACTAGACTATAGACTAGACTATAGACTAGACTATAGACTAGACTACAGACTAGACTATAGACTAGACTATAGACTAGACTATAGACTAGACTATAGACTAGACTATAGACTAGACTATAGACTAGACTATAGACTAGACTATAGACTAGACATAGACTAACTATAGACTAGACTATAGACTAGATAGCTAGACTATAGACTAGACTATAGACTAGACTATAGACTAGACTATAGACTAGACTATAGACTAGACTATAGACTAGACTATAGACTAGACTATAGACTAGACTAGACTAGACTATAGACTAGACTATAGACTAGACTATAGACTAGACTATAGACTAGACTATAGACTAGACTATAGACTAGACTATAGACTAGACTATAGACTAGACTATAGACTAGACTATAGCTAGACTAGACTATAGACTAGACTATAGACTAGACTAGACTAGACTATAGACTAGACTATAGACTACTAGACTAGACTAGACTATAGACTAGACTATAGACTAGACTATAGACTAGACTATAGACTAGACTATAGACTAGACTATAGACTAGACTATAGACTAGACTATAGACTAGACTATAGACTAGACTATAGACTAGACTATAGACTAGACTATAGACTAGACTATAGACTAGACTATAGACTAGACTAGACTATAGACTAGACTATAGACTAGACTATAGACTAGACTATAGACTAGACTATAGACTAGACTAGACTATAGACTAGACTACACTATAGACTAGACTACACTATAGACTAGAGTATAGACTACAGACTAGACTATAGACTGACTATAGACTAGACTATAGACTAGACTATAGACTAGACTATAGACTAGACTATAGACTAGACTATAGACTGACTATAGACTAGACTATAGACTAGACTATAGACTAGACTATAGACTAGACTATAGACTAGACTATAGACAAGACTATAGACTAGACTATAGACAAGACTATAGACTAGACTATAGACTAGACTATAGACAAGACTATAGACCAGACTATAGACTAGACTATAGACTAGACTACAGACTAGACTATAGACTAGACTACAGACTAGACTATAGACTAGACTACAGACTAGACTATGGACTAGACTATAGACTAGACTACAGACTAGACTACAGACTAGACTATAGACTAGATTATAGACTAGACTATAGACTAGATTATAGACTAGACTATAGACTAGACTATAGACTAGACTACAGACTAGACTATAGACTAGACTATAGACTAGACTATAGACTAGACTATAGACTAGACTATAGACTAGACTATAGACTAGACTACAGACTAGACTATAGACTAGACTAGACTAGACTATAGACTAGACTATAGACTAGACTAGACTATAGACTAGACTAGACTATAGACTAGACTAGACTATAGACTAGACTATAGACTAGACTATACACTAGACTATAGACTAGACTATAGACTAGACTACAGACTAGACTATAGACTAGACTATAGACTAGACTATAGACTAGACTACTAGACTAGACTATAGACTAGACTAGACTAGACTATAGACTAGACTATAGACTAGACTAGACTATAGACTAGACTAGACATAAGACTATAGACTAGACTATAGACTAGACTATAGACTAGACTATAGACTAGACTATAGACTACTATAGACTAGACTAGACTAGACTATAGAACTAGACTATAGACTAGACTATAGACTAGACTATAGACTAGACTATAGACTAGACTATAGACTAGACTATAGACTAGACTATAGACTAGACTATAGACTAGACTATAGACTAGACATATAGACTAGACTATAGACTAGACTATAGACTAGACTATAGGACTAGACTATAGACTAGACTATAGACTAGACTAGACTATAAGACTAGGACTATAGACTAAGACTATAGACTAAGACCTATAGACTAGACTATAGACTAGACTATAGACTAGAACTATAGACTAGACATATAACTAGACTATAGACTAGACTATAAGACTAGACTATAGAAAAACCTAGACTAGACTAATAGGACTAAGACTATAGGACCTACGACTATAGACTACTAGACATAGACTAGACTATGACTAGACTATAGACTAGGACTATAGACTAGACTACTAGACTAGACTACTAGACTAGACTATAGACTAGACTATAGACTAGACTATAGACTAGACTATAGACTAGACTATAGACTAGACTATAGACTAGACTATAGACTAGACTATAGACTAGACTATAGACTAGACTATAGACTAGACTATAGACTAGACTATATATAGACTAATTAGATAATATATTAGACTATAGACTAAACAATAGACTAGACTACACTATAGATTTGGCTATAGACTAGACTATAAACTAGACTATAGGTCTAGACTATTGACTAGACTATATTCTAGAATATAGGATTAGACTATAGTCTAGAAGATAGACTAGACTGTGGACTATACTAAATTCTATATTATAGACCATGATATACTAAAAGCTAGACTATTGATTAGACTATAGACTAAATTATATACTAGACTAGATTATATATAAGCCTGATTATAGGGAAGACCATAAACTAGACTTGGCTATACACTAGATTATAGTAGAGTTTAATCTAGGCAATAATCTAGAAAATATTCTACACTATAAACTAGACATTAGTCTAGACTATGGTATAATCTATAATCTAGATTAGACTATATATTAGATTAGCAACTACATTGTATATTATTCTGTAGATTAGACTTACTGGCGTTGAGGTATTGACACATTTATTCCATTGTAGTTGTTGTTCAATTGAAGCCACCACTGGGTGTTCGCACTGAGTCGTAGACACCTCCATAGGTTGTGGACAAGATGGTATGCCTGTACAACATTGTTGAAATGGCGCTGTTATCAAATGTTGACATTGTTCATTCACTTTTCTTTTGGCATTTAAAAATTCTAATAATTGGAGGAATTGATGATTATTTAACAAATTTTCGCCATTTAATAAATGCAGCAACCAATCGTTAGGATCTTGTAAATTTATGAGTTTTAAATCACCATTAGGCATTAATTTGCTCAAACTAAATAAGCGTGAATCCTCTATTTTGCGTACATCTTGTTGGGTTAGCAAAAATAAATCTTGGCCTAAAATTAAGGGAACTGAAGGAAGAAAATGACAATTTTTTAATGAGTTTAAGAGGATTACTTAACTTTACCTTGTTGAGGAGCTAAAGCTTGTTCGGAAATTTGTGTTAATTTTCTAGGCAAGGGATTTGGTAACATAATTTTTTATGTGTTTTAGGAAAAAAAAGGAATTAAAGAAACAAGAATTTAATTTTTATAAAAGAAATTTATATTTTGAAAATATTTTTGTTTGTTTTGAAAGTGTTCTCTTAATACATTTTTGTAATTTTGAACAAGTTTTAAGACTTAATTACTGCGTATGCCGGGTACTTCTAATTTAATTGCTAGATTTTCATCTTTTATGGGTGTGGCATTGGTAGAGCCCGGCTCTTTTTCTTTGGTGCCAAAATCAGGATAAAGTTTAGCCACTTGTCCCAGAGGAGTGCATAAACGGCCTGAAAAGTCGGCACGTTTATTCGATTGAGAACGTTCTACACTGGACACTATGTCGAAGAGAGAACGTTGACCCACATTGCTAAAACTACGTTTGCTAGCCTTTAGCAATTGCGTACTACCAGAGCTGCTGGTGTCTATGGAATGCGGAGGCGATAAAGGTGAATCGGTGGTAGCTCTTATAATAGATTTACCAGCAGCGTCACCTAATATGTCAATAAGAATTCTGTTATCTATTAATTAAGTTATTATATAAGCATTTACTTACGCGCCAAATCTGTTTCCGATTTAATGGTAGCATCACCACAAGCCGCTCTTACATTCTGTATACTTTCCAATATAACTTTATGGTGGGGTGTACTGGCACAGCCTTTAATAAGTACCTCCAGTTCGGCACATAACAATTTATATTGATCGATTTTCTTGTGACCTTTTAAACGATTCGCACTTAAGTTGGGAAACGGCAACGGTTCTCTTCTCGTTGAGGCCGTATACAATTCGTAAATATTTTGCTGACATTGTATTTCATCCGCTTTATCCATATCTTCTTTAGCTAATTTACGCAAGAAATTTGGCAACCAGTGTACACTGCGTTGTAAATTGAAAACCATTGTTGTACTTAAAGTTAAAGGGAAATAGAGTGATCGTGTGTATAAACGTTCTCTGGCTTTGTGTAGATTTTCTTCTGGTTTTGCCTTAGACTTGAGGGGAAGGAAGCGATGGGCCTTAATGAATGCAGCAAAGTCGGTTATACGATAGTCAGCAATACGACCTCCAGGTCCCTCGGATATTGAGGGTGGATCTTCAAGACAAGAGCGTGTTATTTGTAGAGCATGTATGAAAATTTCTCCACCTCGAGCAGAGAGTAAATGACTGGTGGTTTTTCCACCGGTTTTTCTGCAAATAAAGAAACATTTTGACTTCAGTTTAGATTATAGCCTAATCTATAACCTAATCTATAGTCTAGTCTAGTTTATAGTATAATCTATAGTCTATAATCTGTCATAGCTTAGTATATAGTCTAGCCTGGACTATATTATTGCCTAGAGTTCAGTCTTCGCTTACCTGGGCATTTCCAATAAAACCGAACGACCATTAAGCAAAAAATTAATTAAACAAGAACTAGGACGTGAGGTGACATCAACCGGAGTTACACGATGTTGAGCCAAACAGGGTGGACAAGCAGACATGTCGGAGGCACCACAACCTCTAGGGGTGCACCATTTCAAGGTAACAGTTTCATATTCGGCACCCTCTTTAATGCTGGTGGGCAATAAGGCTTCATTGCCGCAGATGGCTGTGTGAGCATTGCGAGCATGAAGGATTTCCACATCATAATTGGCGCTAGAATTAGCATTTTGTTCTTCCTAAGAAGAAAAAAAAAAAAAAAACAGAAAATTAGATGATATATCTTTGATTTTGTTATCACAAATGCTTACCTTCATGGGTATTCCCGTCACTGTGGTACTGGCCAAATCATAATGACTCATTATCAAATGTGTCAATTTGTTGGAGATTTCCGGCGCACTAGTGGTGTGTATTTCCGTAGACAAACAGGGTGATAGTTCCATTTTACTGCGATTCGTTACCAAAGTTTCTATATTCAACGGCACCATATTGATAATAACTAAATGACAATGATCTATATGTAATAATTTCTTTTGTGTCATGGCCAAGGTATTCTGCTGCATTAAGACATTATGGAAAATATCCTCTAAACTCTTCATACTGGGATTATCTCGTGCTGAAGTTATACATATTACGCGGCCTTTATTCGGTATTTTTTCATTAGCCATATTCGGATTGTTCTCTTGGGCCTGCATTAAATTTATTTGATGTTCCGTCGGCTCAGCCAGTGCTTCTATTGCCGCCCTTAAGCCATGTATTACTGAATAGTCGGATGATTGGGGTGTATTACGTTGTGGCACCCCAACCAATGCCATGGCATTTAAAACGTGAGACATATTTTGTGTGGCAAATTTCCAAGTATTCACTATATGAGCCGCCGTATCACTTACTATGAAACGTATTAACTTTCCACGCGGAAATAGATCCCAAACAATGCGACAATATTCTATGGAAGATTCAACGGAACAGGTCCATAAACTTTTACTAAACTGCAGGCCAGTGGAACTGCCAGCAGCTGAGGCTGGCATAGGTTGATCCGTTGCACCACCGGTCTTACCTTTGAGAAAATCTAAAGGTATGTAATCTTCACTTGAAATACTAAAGTATTGTGTGTGATCCAATACGAAAATGGTTTTCTGATTTAAATCATACATTTTTATGTTATTTTGGAGTAAGTTACTGTTGCAAAATTAAATAAAACATGTAAATAATTAACAAAATTAAGGAAAAAACACTTTTCTGTTGCAACAGTTTTGTTTTTATTTAAATTAGTGTTACCAATTCTATATTTTGTTTCCAAATTAGGGGAATTTTTTGATATACAGGAAAATGGGAGTAAACATTTTTAGGAATATACTTTTGGAGTTTTTAAAACTAGTTTCAGAAAGTTTTTTAAAATATATTTCTTTTAAATTTTTAAAAATATTGCGAAAATATATATTTTGTTTATTTCAAATACATATATTACAGAAATTTCCTTAAAATTTTAATGGAAGTACTTCAATGTCATGGCAATACTGTTAAGAAAAAAAGACAAATAAAGTGCTGCTAACATGAAATAAATAAAAATCATATCTTTCATTGTTTTGAAATTTTCAAACTTGTATAAAAATATAAATTTGTTAAAAGAAAAACCAAATTTTCCAATTGTTAAAATTTTTTATTTTATTTTCCAATATTATAAATATCGTTTTGAAATTTTATTTTGTGACATAAGCTTTTTTGTTTTAAAGCAGACTACATTGTTTATGTACTGTATAAAAATACAACCCTGTTTGTTATTTAGTACCGTTATTCCTCAAATGACGCTTGTGAAAATTTTCCCAGAAAAAAAAGAATTTCTTCAAGCTTTTATTGCTACTTTTAAAATGTCTTAGAAAAAAGTGAAAAAATTGTAAATTATAATTTAGAAAAATGTGAAGAATACATTAAGCGAATAGTTTACCATGAAATTTACTTATTTAATGTGTGGAAAAGTAAAATTTGACTTTGTTTTTCTTGGTTTAAAATATTGCTATTTCATTTGTTGGAAGAAGCTTACAACACAGTATGTTAGTCTTCGCGCTACCAATATCCATCGATGGGTAATGGATTAATGAATGGACTGTTGGTTTCATATCCACCTATTATTATATATTACTTTCAAAGCAATCAGATAAATCTTGTCAACTAAGCGATAGTTGTACCAACCGGAAGTCATTTTCCTGTAGATGAAGGTTTATCGATAGCAGATTTGTAACAACAACAATTACTTGTGAGTATGAGCTATTTCTTTGTAAGAATCTTTTAAAATTTTAACCAAAAATACTTAAGCCATCTTCCAATCAGTACAAATATGACTAATATGTTAACAAGGTCCATATTTGGAAGTTTTTGGATAAAGCTTTATCATTATACCCTACACCACTATATTGGGGAGGGTATTAAACGATTGTGCTGGTGTTTGTAACACACAAAAATATTGGTCCTACACCCACCTTAAAGTATACCGATCGATTCAGAATCACTTTTTGAGTCGATTAAGACATGTCCGTCCGTCCGTCTGTCCATGTAAACCTTGTGCGCAAGGTACAGGCCGCAATTTTTTTTGGCACAGGGACGAAGCCTATTGAAAATGGTTGAAATCGGTCCATTATTTCACCTAGCCCCATACAACCGTACCTCCCGATTTGGGCTTTTTATGCCATTATTACGTCAAATATACTATTATCTCTCTAAAAATTGGCACAAATATGTTTTATATAAGTATAAATGACACTGCAGATTTTCGTAATGATCGTTCCTTATTTGACCCTAGCCCCCATACAAACCCCCCTTCAAATAATGTCTTAAACGTCTGAAATTGACTTGTAACCATTTGTATCGCAATGAAACTCAACATAACTAACTGTTATTTAAAAATTTATCCTTTTCCCAAATTAAATGAGTATCGGCCCATGTTTGACCTATACTCCTATATAATTATATATTTATATTAGTTTTTTTTTTATCAATAAAATAAGTTTTTTTATCAATAAATTGCTTAAATACCTCTTTATGAAAAATAAAATTTTTTAAAATATACTCATGGTGTAGGGTATTATATGGTCGGCCATGCCCGACTATACTTTCCTACTTGTTTTTCAAATATGTATGCATAACGAATAGGAGTGTTCTATTTGGATATGTCAAATCTTATTTTGTTTGATCAAATATTACATGTTATTTGAAAATATTCCTTACAGACAACAATTATTTGAGTATCGGGTATTTCTTTGTAAGATTCTTTTAAAAATAGTTAGGCCTTCTTCCATTCAGTACAAATCTTATTTTGTTTGATCAAATACCTATTACATGTTATTTGAAAATATTCCTTACCGATTCTGGCTTTCTAGGTACATTTGTTTTTGTACTATGTTGTTCAAATTAAGTTAGGCTATATACTAGACTATAATACTAGGCTATACTATAAACTAGACTTTATGCTAGAATATAGACTAGACTTTAAGCTAATCTATAGACTAGATTAGATCATATAGACTAGACCATAAACTAGACTGTTGGCTAGTAGTCTATAGTCTAGTCCACAAACTAGACTACACTATAGACAAGACTATAGATAAGGTTTTACTATATACAGTCTAGATTTAACTCAAAATTTATTGCGTGATTTGCAAAAAAAAAAACATATTCCTATTTTAATTTTGTTTATTATTTTTACAATATTTCATTATCATTCTTATCTGTTAAATTCTCCACATGCCCCATTCTCAAACGATGTGATCTCAAAGTATTATAACGTTGAAAACTATCACCACACACTCCACAAACATACGGTCGTTCGCCGGTGTGCGAACGTAAGTGAATTTTTAAGTCCTGTGTATGTTTAAAACTACGTTCACACTGCAAACATTTGTGAGGTCTAACATTCGTATGGGTACGCATGTGTTGACGTAGATCATCTGAAACTCGAAAAGCTTTTTCGCACACCTGACACTTATAGGGTTTTTCACCGGTATGTAAACGTTTATGACTATTGAGTTGTGTTACGAGTAGAAAAGCGCGTTCACATAAATCACATTTAAAAGGTTTTTCACCTGTATGACGTCTAAGGTGTACCGTTAACTGAGTTTTACTAGTAAATGAACTGCCGCATATGGGACATAAGGATCCTTTATCCACTGACTTCCTTTCTTTGTTATTAGTTGTGTTACTTTCATTTTTCTCGTCAACTTCTTTTGAGCAATGTTTTAACTTTGTGTGATAGATTAAACTCTTTTTTCGAGAATATTTTTTGTGACATTTATCACATTTATAAATGTAATCCTCTTCCGGACGTTTGCTTATTAAAGTTACCGTTTCGGGACCATGAAAGGTACGCATATGTTTATACATATTACAATACCGTGTAAATTTATTGCCACACAAATTACAAGTACATTTTTTCTCTTCCGGTATATGACTTATTCTTTGGTGTACTGCCAATAGCTTGGAATTTTTGAAAATTTTATTACATTTATCACAAGGTACAGCTATATCTGTATATTCAGTTTTCTTTTTTGTGGGAGCTTGAGCTTCGTTTGTTTTTATCACTTTATTTTGAGGCTGTTTACTGTTTGTTGTTTTATTATCATCTTCCCAGTCAGAGCCTTCAGATTGCTGAGATTCCAAATCGGAGTTAACATCTTTATCTAACACAGATTTTTTTATTCTTTGCAACTTTCTGAAAATGTTAATATTCTTAGTAGAAGTTAAAAATAATTATAATTAAAATTTACTTTTCCAATTTTTCGGCCTCAATCAAATTACACTGTTCTAGCCCTTTACGCTTGTTTTCTTCTTCTGTATTCACTTCAAGACCAACATTCTCAACAATTTGTATTTCCTGCAAACAATCTAATGTTTCCTTTCCTTTTACTTCTGCTTCATGTTCAACCTTAATTTCTGTACAAGGTTCTAAATCGATTGGAGTTTCTTCTAAACATTTCAAATTTTCTTTTGCCAGTTCTGGTTCCTCTTTTATTTCCATACAAGTTTCCATATCGATTTGCGTTTCTTGCAAACATTGTAATTTTTCATTTAACATAACATAAAGTTGTTCATTAACTTCAGCAGCTTGTTGTATGAAATTATGGGCAGATTTTAGGCGACGTGAACAGTCACCGCAAATAAATTGTGGTAATTCTTGAGATTTGTTATCCTTGATCTTATTTGGATTAAAGTTAAAAACATATAAACTTATTTCTGTTTTTTCTTTTAAATCTTATATTTTATTTACATTGATATTAGTAATATCCTGTAAAAGTTCACCATAGGACTTAAAACGTTTCTTATAATCTCGTGTCTTTGCTGTAAGCGGATTCCAACCTTTGGTCGCATTAAAGCAGGTGCGACATTCATGGTTTATTATTTTTTTATTTTTAGACATATTTTAAAAAATGTTCTAATTGTTTGTAAGAAGTCTTTGGAAGATTTTTATAATTTTAGTATTTTTATAGTATCTTCTTCTTGTTTAACTAGTCATTCATTAAAATTTGAGAGCTAGATATACAGATAGCTTTAATGACAATCAGTTATAAGACTGTTTCAAAAGTTCTCAAGACTTTAGACTAGACTATAGACTAGACTATAGACTAGACTAGACTATAGACTAGACTAGACTATAGACTAGACTATAGACTAGACTATAGACTAGACTATAGACTAGACTATAGACTAGACTATAGACTAGACTATAGACTAGACTATAGACTAGACTATGGACAAGACTATAGACTAGACTGTAGACTAGACTATAGACTAGACTATAGACCAGACTATAGACTAGACTATAGACTAGACTATAGACTAGACTATAGACTAGACTATAGACTAGACTATAGACTAGACTATAGACTAGACTATAGACTAAACTATAGACTAGACTATAGACTAGACTATAGACTAGACTATAGACCAGACTATAGACTAGACTACAGACCAGAGTATAGACTAGACTATAGGCCAGACTATAGACTAGACTATAGACTAGACTATAGACTGGACTATAGACCAGATAATAGACAAACTATAGTCTAGACTATAGACTAGACTATAGACCAGACTATAGACTAGAATATAGACCAGAGTATAGACTAGACTATAGACTAGACTATAGACTAGACTATAGACTAGACTATAGACTAGACTATAGACTAGACTATAGACTAGACTATAGACTAGACTATAGACTAGACTATAGACTAGACTAGACTAGACTATAGACTAGACTATAGACTAGACTATAGACTAGACTATAGACTAGACTATAGACCAGACTATAGACTAGACTATAGACTACACTATAGACTAGACTATAGACCAGACTATAGACTAGACTACACTATAGACTAGACTATAGACCAGACTATAGACTAGACTATAGACTAGACTATAGACTAGACTATAGACTAGACTATAGACTAGACTATAGACTAGACTATAGACTAGACTATAGACTAGACTATAGACTAGACTATAGACTAGACTATAGACTAGACTATAGACTAGACTATAGACTTGACTATAGACTAGACTATAGACTTGACTATAGACTAGACTATAGACTATACTACAGACCAGAGTATAGACTAGACTATAGACCAGACTATAGACTAGACTATAGACTGGACTTTAGACCAGATAATAGACTAGACTAGACTGTAGACTAGACTATAGACTAGACTATAGACTAGACTATAGACTAGACTATAGACTAGACTATAGACTATAAACTAGACTATAGACTATACTATAGACTATAGACTAGACTATAGACTATACTACAGACCAAAGTATAGAGTAGACTATAGACCAGACTATAGACTAGACTAGACTATAGACTGGACTTTAGACCAGATAATAGACTAGACTAGACTGTAGACTAGACTATAGACTACACTATAGACTAGACTGTAGACTAGACTGTAGACTAGACTATAGACTAGACTGTAGACGATATTTTTCGATATCAAAAAGTAATGAAATTTCCCTGAATTTACTAAAGTCTAAAATCTGCTTTTTATTAAAATGTTTTTATTGTTATTCAATTTCCTTTTTTTAGTTTATAATTTTTTTGTTTTACTCTGTGATGGCTACGTTCAACCGCCCTTTTAATATTTTTTTCGAAATCTAAAGCTCTTTGCTCCTGAAAAACACCTGAAATTTGTAGATTTTATATAACATCAATATAGTTTCCATAAACAATTTTTTGTTTATTATGTATATACACACCTCGCAGAACATTTTCGATTAAATAAAGTTTCGCCAGTGCTTTCCTTCCCCACCTTCCTTCCCAATTAAACATTTCAAGCAGGTCATCCGTGAATAATTCACGTATGACACTGTTTACACCATCAGACTCTCCTTTAAATTTGTGCAAATAAGTTTTCTGTAAATAAATATAAAAAAAGAACTAAATATTAATATAACAAATAAGTAATTAAATTTTTACCATTGTTTGAGCAAACTTTCGATTGCTTAGTTTTTCTTCCAATTCCTCTACTGCCTCTAGGGTCGCCATAGGAAGCATATTGTCGAGTTCGTTCAGAGTTTTTTCATTAATTTCGTCAGTCATGGGGCACACGGATTTATTTACTTTTTTAATGGCCACCTGGCGTTGCACTAGCACTCTGGACTGTGCCATCATCTCAGGTTTTGACATAATCTGGTCAAATATTTAAATTTTAAATAAAAATAAAAACTGAAGTGAAACTACTGATACTAACACTTGTTTCTATGTCCTCCAATTTATTGGCAATTTGCTGTTGATTTGCCACAATCGCATCCTGAGCATTGCTTAATAGGTTTTGGTTATTAATAATACTTGTTTGCTTAAATTAAATGAGAAATAATTAAATAAATATTTTTTATATTTAAAGTAAAGTATAATTGAAAACTTACAGTTTGTTCAATTTTCTCAAGTCGAGTATTTATCTCCCTTTGCCCCTGCAGAATATTCGTTAATACTTCCAAAAGGTCTGAAAAAAGTAATAGTTTTTAATCTAACGATAATTAAAAAAATAAATTTATTAATTAACCTCCATTTGTTGATGGTAAATTATTTGCAATAACTCTATTTATCGAGTTGCATTTTCTTATTAAAATGGGCTGGTTTGCTGAAGAGTAAAATTTATTAAAATACACATATGTATGTAAATATTTATTAATTATTACACACTGTCTAACGGATAGGATTTCAAATAATTATTTGTCTCAAATGCATTTTTCCCTAAACTCTTCTGTATGGACTACATGTGTTGCCACTACTTGGAAGGCCTGAACTCTTCTTACATTTGAAGCAACCAGATTTGCTAATATGAACCCTACACGGGCAACAAAGGCCTTAGCTGGAGAATTGCAAATAAAAATCGAACCTTAAGCATTTCGCTATCTTAGTGCCTCATGTGGTAATCGATCCAACGACCTCTAGTCTAACAGACTAGAACCCTAATATACGGGAGACCCCTCTAAACATCTTTACTTCTGCACAATACCTTGCCATAAAGCCAAATTTTGTGGCATCTTAAGACTACAGCAGCCTACGATTTAATCTCCTCCCACTTGACTCTGCTATCAACATGTCCCACAGAATTAGAATTTCATCCTTAATTACTGATTAACTACATACAACCTGGCTCTACACCTCCTGTAAAATCTGACTTACAAACCAAACTTATTTTCGGGACTTGTGCTAATTTTAGTTTATTACTTTCTACTTCATTTATATCAACAAACTCAAATGTCCTTTTTGTCATTTTGTTTAGTTTTTTTATTCAATTTGTAGAAATTTTATGTTTTATATTTAAATAAAGTCTTTTTTATGTTGATTTTAATTTAGTTTAAATAAATTTTTGGATTGTAATATGTTTTTTTTATATTTTTCACTCCGTTTTCAATTGCCGACTCGGCTCTTAACGGCGGCGTCTGGTCGCCGGTCAAAAACTAACGTTTTACTTTAAACATTTGAATTATCGAAAATGTGTACTACAGAAATCGAAAAATTTCTATAGAAAAAGAAAATTTATCAAAAAATATCTATAGCAAAAAAATTATCGAAAATTATCTATAGAAATAGAAAATTTATCGAAAATCATCTATAGAAGTAGAAAATTTGTCGAAAATCATCTATAGAAATATAAAATTTATCGAAAAATTATCTATAGAAATAGAAAAATTATCGAAAAATATCTATAGAAAAAAAATTTCTATATAGGTAGATTATATAAAAACAAAAATTTTATAGACAATTTTCTTTAAGAACAGAAAAATTATCAATCGAAATTTTCTATTAAAAAAAATGATCGAAAACTTAGTATTTTAATCGTGTATGACACTAGGGGCTTCATTATATTAATCAAGAATTAAAAAATAAAATATTTGAACTAATTTAATTTCTGTTAGAGAATTTATTTATCTCATTTTAAAGATAATCGTGGATACTCCTTCCATTTTATCATTTAGTGGAGGGTAATATATTCATTTCATGAATTTTTCGATGTTGTCTCAGTGTAACCGGTCGTTGAAAACTGTCTCCACACACGGTACACACAAATGGTCGTTCACCGGTATGTGTCAGCATATGTATTTTTAAATCCTGTGCAAATTTATAACGACGTTCACACTGTGTACATTTATTTGGCCTTTCATCGCTATGGGAGGCCATGTGTTGACGTAAATATTTAGCTGACACAAAACCTTTGCCACATTTTTCACATTTATGCGGTTTATCACCGGTATGTTGACGTCGATGTCGGTTAAGTTCGGTAACAACTAAAAAACTACGCTCACAAAAATCACATTTAAAAGGTCGTTCACCAGTGTGTTGCCTTACGTGAGCCGTTAAATGATTACGGGAAGAAAAAAACTTTGCCACAAATGGGACATAATGAACCCGGATTTACAGCAGGTGGTTTCTTCTTTTTTGTTTCTATTGCACGCGGAGAATGTTTTGATTGTTTATGTTTGACCAGACTTTTTTTCTGGCAATACTTTTTGGGGCATTTATCACATTTGTAGATATAATCACTTTCTGGTCTTTCGGGTTTATTCATATAAATAACAGAATCTTGCCCATGTGCCGCACGCATGTGAGCATACATATTGCTATATTTTACATATTTGTTGCCACATAAGGGGCATGAACATTTCTTATCTTCTGGTATATGACTAATTTTTAGATGACTTTCTAAGGCTTTAGAATTTTGAAATATTTTATTACAAACACTGCAGGGTATGGCCGATTCGACAATTTCTTCATTGAAGCATTTATTCACTTTGCTTAAGGTTTTCGTTTTTGTTAAAATTTTGTTAGTTTCATTTGCATCTTTATTGTTATTATTTGATTTAGTTGCAACATTAATGTCCTTTTTGTCTGCTGATAGCCTTTTCTGTTTAAGTACTTTCCTCTCCGATTCATTTTCTCTTTCCTGCCAGTCTGAATCCGAATCTGTAATATTTGTGTCTACAGATTCAGAATCATTTGTCTCATTATTGAATACAGCTTGTGCCTTATCGATCATAGAACTCTTGTTTTGCAAATTATCTCTTTTTCCCCTATTTTCATCTTTAATTTCTATAGTTTCATTTAAACGATCCAATGAGTCCATTTCCTTTTCTATTTGTTTGCTTTCAATTTTTATTTCTAAAAACGTTTCTAAATCGATTTGTGTTTCCTGTAGACAATCCATTTTACCCTCTGCTTCCAGAGCACTATTTTCAACTTTAATTTCCATCTTTTCTCCTTTAGGGTTTTGGATTTTCTGTATGCTAGACAATTTCTCATTTAGCATAAAATTTAGTTTTTCATGGACTTCTTTCACTTGTTGTATAAATTTATGGGCAGTTCTTAGACTACGTATACATTTATCGCATATTGATTGAGGGAGATCTCGATGTGTTTGTTCTTTGATCTAGGGATAAAAGAGAAGTTTAATAGTTTTACTTTTAAGTTAGAAATATTTGTATTTGGTAAAGTTTACATTAATGTTTGTGACTTCCTCTAGAAGTTCAGCATAGGATTTTGTTTCTTTTTTATTAAAATAGCACATCTTTGTTAGAGGATTTAAACCTCCACTGGCAGTAAAACATGTACGACATACGATATTTGTTAATGTCATGTTTATTAAGTTATTGTGATTATTATTGTTATTAAATATTAAATAAATTACTTATTACTACTTTTAAATAAATATCCTTTTTTACGGAAATCAGTGATTTCTAGTCCGGGATGATATTTCTACATAATTGTACTTTTTTGGTATAATTTTTGTGTTTAAAAGTACGACAGTTATATCATGGGTGTGGGAAGATAGATAGATAGATAGATAGATAGATAGATAGATAGATAGATAGATAGATAGATAGATAGATAGATAGATAGATAGATATCTAGGTCATCGCTTTTTTATGTTGCGTTGCAGTCAGTCGTAGTTGTACGAAAAGTATTTTATGTTGAGCCTCTAAAATTTTGTAATATTTTTTATACCATCTCTATTTTAATGTTTATATTTATTGATGTCATCTTCTTCTATAAATAATTATTCACCTTGAAGTAATAACCCAAAAATACCAAGAACAGGTGATCATATTTGAGGTGTTATTTCTAAAGAGTGCATTAACTATTAAACGATATATAACTCAAAAGAGGCTTTGAAATTTTTATTATTCTGTACATTCTCTTTACATTTATTTTGTTCGAAAAATGTTATCCAAAACATACTATTCAATACCAATTTTTAACATAATCAAACTTTTAGGCAGATTGGAGAGTTTTACGTTTCTTCTGATGGCTAGATTCATGCAAAAGAGTTTGTCCAAAATGTAAAATATAAAAGATCCAGCAAAAGTTTCAATATATGCACATATAATACATATTCCAAAGTTAAGAGAAATAGTACTAGTACTTCTAAAGCATCCATTAAAAAAGTAATATTAATGTATCAAACATAAATACTTATATTTTTATTGTTTACAGCATTATCGTAGCTATTCATGAATAAACTACCAAAAAATTGTGAGTTTTTATAATTAGAAAAAAAAAAAAAAATAATAACTCCTACACTACTTTTAACATGACGACACCACTTGATCGATAATTTCAAAATGCTGCTGTTTTGTCTGATGCAATTTTAAGGAATTACTCTGGGTAAAAGTACTCTGACACACACCACACGTATACGGTCTTTCACCCGTATGTATTCGCTTGTGTATATTTAAATCTTTTGAATGTTTAAAGGCTTTCTCACACTGATCACACTTATAGGGACGTTCATTGGAATGTGTACGCATATGAATTTTTAATTTATTCGATCTGGCGAAAGGTTTTTCACATATTGTACATTTGAATGGTTTCTCTCCGGTGTGTGAACGACGATGGGCTTGCACATCACACGGCCGATAGAAGGAACGTTCACAGAGATCACATTTAAAGGGTTTATCACCAGTGTGACGTCGTATGTGTACATCTAAATTTGATTGTGTATCGAATTTGGAACCACACAGAGTGCAAAGGAAACGTTTTTTAGGCAGAGCAACACGTTTTGGTTTTTGCGATGCATTGTCAGGATTGTGTTTGAGATTCATATGAGCTAGCAGATAATATTTGCTAGTATAAACACCATCACATTGTTCACAAGCAAATTGACGTGGAAACTTTCTCTGTTGTGTTATGTGTTCTTCTACCGGTTTGTCTTTGTGATGTGTTCTCATGTGGGCATACATATTGTGGCGTCGTCCAAATTTTGCCGTACAGTAAGGACATTGTACTTTTAACTCTTCGGGTACGTGTGTATGACGTTTATGACGACTTAATAAGCGAGCATTTGGAAATACACGATCACATTGGTCACACGGTGTGGGTATATTATCATCAACTTGGTTTTCTTTTAGTTTCTTTTTGGAGCGCACAGGAGTTTTGGTTTTATCTGCAGTCTCTTTTGTTTTAGCAGTTGTTGTAGTTTTTTCTTTAGCCCAATCGGAATCGTTGCTTGTTACTGATTCATCCTCACTATCGCTTAGTCCTTTTTCATCAGGCTGTGTAAAGTCTTTATCAAAAATATCATCATCATAATCATCTTCACTATCAGACATAATCTCTTTTTGCTGTAGCGGTGAAGTAGTTTCGAGCACATCTTTGAGGGGAGTACTAAAAAATAAAAAGCATACTTTTAGGCTTACAACATATTTAATTTTTATACCATATTCTACTTAATAGTGGTTGATAGGCCATTATGCGGCTAAAACATGTCAGTCATTCGTCCGTCTAAACTTTATTTATTAACATACTAAAGGCTTTCTTTTTTAACTCACTTTTCTTTTTTGCATTTGCAAGTTTATCTGTTGCTGTAGTAGCAATTGCACTACCACTGTCTTCCGGTTCTTCTAGTTTAAATTTCACCTCAATTTTAGTTAATTCCGGCTTATTGTTTTCTCCCGTTTCCTCATCTTCCATTTTTATTTCTAAACAATTTTGTATATCTATCTGAGCTTCCTGCAGGCAATCTATGGGTTTATCTTCATCAATTTCATTATTCATAGACCACAATTTATCATTAGCTTCATGAGCTTGCTGGACGAATGCATATGCGGCTTTTAATTTACGTATACAGCAACCACATATGTTTTGAGGCATTTCCTTGCAAGTTTCATCCATCATCTGTAACAATGAGAGTTAAAATAAGAGTTACTTTTTTAATTTGTTCCTCCTACTTACATCAATTTGTGTTAAATCCTTTAGCACTTCACCATAAGACTTTCTTTCGTCTTTTTCTTCTGTTATCATTTTTGTTAACAATTGTAGTCCTTTGGAGCCATTCAAACATGTTCGACATTTATTCTTATATTTATTTGTTTTAATCATATTGCTGTGTGAAATTTAGAGTGCAATTTTCTTTTTCTAGTATTATCCTTAGAATTATATAGTTCTTTTTTGTTTATATCAGATAGTTGTTTACAAATTGTTGTTGTTTTTCTTTGTGCTATTCACTGTTCATTGATAGCAGTAAATATTTGTGCACTTGGAGAAATTTTTAAAATCGTATTTTTAGTTTGACTGTGAAGTTACTTTTATATTGCTATTAGAGGTTCAAAAATATTCGGAAATTTCTGAAAAAATGTGTCAGGAAAAAGTGAGAAATTTTATGTATCTTATTTCTATCTTAAATTGAATTTTTCTGAGTTATAAATTATTTATTTGTCTTTTTATCTATCTAACTATTTATCTATCAACAAAAAAATATACCATTTAGATAATTCCACTATATTATTAAATTTTTATTATTTCCACAATAATTATACATTTCTCTTATACTGATTTTACAAATGGCGTAAAATTATTTTCCACTGGTGGCGGTTGTGGCGGCGGTACTACAAAATGTTGCTGCTTCGTTTGATGAAGTTTTAATGAATTACTTTGCGTGAAAGTACTGTGACACACCCCGCATACATATGGTCTTTCACCAGTATGTATACGTCTGTGTATAGTTAAATCTTTTGATTGCTTAAAGGCCTTTTCGCATTCATCGCACTTATAGGGACGTTCATTGGAATGTGTACGTATATGAACTTTTAATTTGTTCGATCTGGCAAAACCTTTGTCACATATGGTGCATTTAAATGGTCTCTCACCGGTGTGCGAACGACGATGTGCTTGTACATCCGATGGCCTGTAGAAAGCACGATCGCAAATATCACATTTAAAAGGCTTTTCACCAGTGTGACGCCGTATATGTACCTCTAGATAATATTGTGTATCAAACTTGCCACCACACAAAGTGCAGAGGAAACGTTTTTTGGGCAACAATACTCTTTGTGGCTTTTTCTGGGCATCAGGATCATGTTTCGATTTCATATGAGCCAATAGATAATATTTGGTTGTATAGGTGCCGTCACATTTTTCACAGGCATATTGTCGTGGAAGCTTTCTTTGTTGTATTATATGCTCCTCTATAGGTTTGTCTTTGTGATGTATTCTCATGTGGGCATACATGTTGTGACGCCGTCCAAATTTGCCTGCACAATAGGGACATTGCACCTTTAACTCCTCCGGAACGTGAGTAATACGCTTGTGTCTTTTCAATTGACTAGCATTGGGAAATACTCTATCACATTGTTCGCAGGTAGTGGGTATATTATCATCTAAATTGGTTTCTTTTACTTTTCTAGTTCGTTTTTTCACTGGAGTTTTTGCCTTATCACTAGTGGTCTCCTTGGTTTTAGTTTCTTCAGCCCATTCTGAATCATTGGAGGATATAGACTCACTATCACTGTCTGACATACCCTCATCTGGTTTGGAAAAATCTGCATCATATTTATCATCCGCATCAAAATCATCTTCACACTCAGATAAAGTTTTGGTTTCGAGAACATCTTTGTCGGGAATGCTATAAATTGTAACATACTTTTAGGTCTTTTTTTTTTAAAACTCTTTTCATTGATTCCTTAACACATACCTTTCCTTGTTTTCTTTTTTTGTTGTGGCTAATTTGTCTATGGCAGTTTTGAACTCTCCCGATCCTTCTTCTGGCTCTTCTTTCTTTAATTCATCCTGCAATTTGGTTAAATCGTGTTTATTTTCCCCATTCTCATCCTCATCTTCCATTTTTATTTCCAAACAATCTTGTATATCTATCTGTGCCTCTTGTAGACAATTTATGGGTTTATCATCCAGATCAGATTCATTGAGTATGGACCATAATTTATCATTGGCTTCATGGGCTTGTTGTACAAACGAATAGGCAGCTTTCAGTTTACGTATACAATAGCCACAGATGTTTTTGGGCATTTCGCTAAAGCTTTCATCCATCACCTTTTAGCCGTAAAATAGACAATGGGTTTGTTATCATAGTCATTAAGACATTTTTGTATATTCCTTCGTACTTACATCAATATGTGTTATATCCTTTACTAGTTCACCATAAGTTTTTGTTTCTTCTTTATCATCGTTTATAATTTTTGTTAATAATTGCAATCCTTTCGAACCATTCAAACATGTACGACATTTATTTTTAAATTTACTATTTTTACTCATTTTATTGATTGATTTTTATGTGAAATTTTCTTGATTTTATGCTTAAAGTTGTATATCTATATGTATTGTTTGGATTAGTTTTTTTGCATACAAACTTTTTCTATAATTTTGGTTATTCACTGGAAGTTGATAACAGTTGAAACAATTACAGTTAGAGAAATATGGGGTAGAATTTAAAGACTTACCTAATTACATATAGAAAATCGTCTTGGGGAACAAACATAGATCACAGAACCAGTTTGTGTGGTCGAAAAGTGACCGGACAAAAAATATTAAATTATAAAAATGCAATGTGGCTAGGGATCTTGTTTTACACCAATCAAGTTTTTATATTAACTTTTTCATGATAAATATTTATCTATCTATCTATCTATCTATCTATCTACATATCTATCTATCTACTATCTATCTATCTATTTATCTACATATCTATCTATCTATCTATCTATCTATCTATTTATCTATCTATCTATCTATTTATCTATCTATCTATTTATTTATTTATTTATTTATCTATCTATCTATCTATCTATATATCTATCTATCTATCTATTTATCTATCTATCTATCTATCTATCTATCTATCTATCTATCTATCTATCTATCTATCTATCTATCTATTTATATATCTATCTATCTATCTATCTATCTATCTATCTATCTATCTATCTATCTATCTATCTATCTATCTATCTATCTATATATTAAAAAATTATCAAATAATCATTTAAAAAACTTACTTATGCCTTTATTAAACAAAATACATATATTTGTTATATACTTATTATACACATTACATTAAATATTAAAATCTATAGATTTACAGAACTTCATCATGGTGATTTTCATTTATACGATGTAAATTCAATAAGGATCTACTCTCAAATACTTTCCCGCATACTTGACAATTCAACTTTTTCTCTTTCAAATGAGTACGTTTATGCACTGACAAATTATATGATTGCGTAAAACTTTTACCACAATCTTTACATTTATATGGACGTTCCGAACTATGTATGCGTTTGTGTTTAATCATATGGGAATTATCACGAAAGCCTTTAGAACAAATTGGACATTTATAGGGCCGTTCGCCCGTATGTAAATAACGATGTATCTTCAAATCGTACGGGACAATAAACGATTTAAAACAAATATCACATTTATAGGGTTTTTCGCCGGTATGATGACGATTTATGTGAATATTTAAAATGGTAATAGTGGTACAAACATAAGAACATTCTGTACACATAAAACGTTTCTCTCTAACTTTTGCCGGTTGTTTTGTATTTTCTGCAGGATCTTTGGGTATATGCGACTTTTCAATGTGTATCCTTAGATCAGTTTTTCTTTTATATTTTTTACCACAGTGCGGACATAAACTGTATTTATCTTCTGTGATATGAACATGGCGCTGATGGGCATACAAAGCTTTATAGTTTTTGTAAATATTACCGCATTCCTCACAACGTCTGGCTAAGGATTTACTAGATAAAGATTTGGGCTTCCGTTTTTTGATATTTAAAATGTTTCTTATAAATTCTTCATCACTAAATTCTTCTTTATCTGCATCAGAATTTACGGAAGACTTAAGATGAGTTTTAGAGATTTTTTGTGCTAAAGGTATGTCATCATCACTCTCACTAGATTCTTTTTCATTTATTGTATCATCTTCACCTTCTTCTTTTATGCTTAAAAAGTCAGAAGAAGTACTAGTAACCCTGAAATGTAAAGAAAATTGTTTTATAGTTTTTAGTTAAATCAAAAAAAGTTTACCCTTCTTCCATTTTATTTCCTGCTTCCGCTTTTAAGGTTTTAATCAATTCTTTGTGTGAATTTTTCACATGTGTTAATAAGTCAAATTTCTTCAAACACAAATATGAGCAAAATTTACATTTAAATTTATCCTTTTCAGAACCATGTTTCGAACGAGTATGATAGTTAAGGGCAGCATAAGTTCTAGCTGTATAATCACATGAACGACATTTTATAATTTTATCTTTCATCTTTAGATTACTGCTATTTTCTTCAATGCCATGTTTATTTTTAACATGATATAAATACGTGTATTTATTTGTATATTTACTGGGACACATTTTACAGGTAAAAACATCTTGTTGTGGTTTTCCTTTATCTAATAATATGCTAGGCGCCTCTATACCATGTTGAGAACGCATATGTTTTAATAAATTATCACGTCGACTCATTACTTTATGACATATCGGACAGGTTGTATCAATTTGTGTTTCTCCGCACTGCCCGGCATTAGTAGTATTCTCGGTGTTTGTAAACAATTCCTGCGTAGATAAATCATTTATATCATATTGGTAACTAGAAAGAGAAATTAATAAACTTGTAAATAACTTAAAAATAACTATTCTTGTAAATAATCTTACTTATCAATAATATCCTTTTCCTCATTGTCATCATTTTGAAATTGAACTTCGTTATCTGATTCTAGTTTCTCCAATATTTTCGATTTTGAAAGTACATTCATGTCATTAGTATGTAATTCTTCATCTAAAGTGTCCTGCAACTTTATCTGCTTATCATCATCACTCTCACCACCATCCTTTTCCGTTTTAATATCCATTTCCTTCGCATTTTGTGGCAAATCTATTACTTTTTCTTTCAAACAATCCAATTGTTTGGAAATAACTTCTAACAGTTTAATATTACAATACTGAGCCTGCCGTATAAAGGCCGAAGTGTTTCGCAATTCACGACAGCACAGGAAACATAAATATTTTGGCATAAGACGTTCATAATCCGGTGAGCACTAAACAAAATGATCGGAAATATTTAACTCATTTAATTAAAACTTAAACTTGTTACTACCTCCAATTTAGCATATTCCTTTAATAGTTGACCATAGGTCCTCTTGGGATTACAACCTCTAGCTTGTTTGGTTAAAGGGAATGTTTTTGTACTGTTTTTAAGACATGTCCTACATTTTTGTATTGGATTTTCATTCATTTTTTTTTTAATTTATTTGTTTATTCAATTTATTTGTTTATTCAATTGAATAATTTTGTAGCTGTAAAAAATATTTTTGTTTTACTATAAATTCACTGTAAGTTGATAGCATTTGTTTCGTTGTACAGTGTGTGTGAATAATAAAAATATAGCTTAAGGGTGAATTTATAAAGGTTGGTTTCACTTCAACAGCTGATTGTGTTTTATATGGGATACAAGACGAATGTAAAACAAAATGAAATTAACGGCTAATTCAGCAAGAGTGGGGTAAACTAAACTGTAATAGGTAGATAGATAGATAGATAGATAGATAGATAGATAGATGTAGATAGATAGATATATAGCTAGATAGATAATAGATCGATCGCTCGCTCGCTCGATCTAGCTAGCTCGCTCGCTCGATAGTCGATCGCTCGCTCGCTCGCTCGCTCGCTCGCTCTCTCTCGGTCCTCGGTCCTCGCTCGCTCGCTCGCTCGCTCGCTCGCTCGCTCGCTGCTCGCTCGCTCGCTCTCTCGCTCGCTCGCTCGCTCGCTCGCTCGCTCGCTCGCTCGCTCGCTCGCTCGCTCGCTCGCTCTCTCCCTCGCTCGCTCGCTCGCTCGCTCGCTCGCTCGCTCGCTCGCTCGCTCGCTCGCTCGCTCGCTCTCGCTCGCTCGCTCGCTCGCTCGCTCCCTCGCTCCCTCCCTCCCCCCTCGCTCGCTGGCTCGCTCGCTCTTTTTTCTCCCGTTTTCCTTTCTTCCTTCCCTCCCCTCTCTTTTCCCGGCGTCCCCCTTTCTTCCTCCCCCGTCGGCCTCCTCCCCCTCCCGTACATATGAAGATTTTATTAAGTTTTTTTTTTAACAAATAATAAAAAATCTGAATTTACAATTTAAGTATCAACATCCGGATGATTCTCATTTATACGATGGATATTCAATTCAGATAGATTTTCAAAAATCTTATCGCAAACCGTACAATTCAGTTTCTTTTCTTTTAAATGGGCCCTCTTATGCAATGTTAAATTATACGCTTGTGTAAAACTCTTGCCACAATCCTTACACTTATAGGGACGTTCCTTATTGTGTACACGTTTGTGTTTTATCAATTGTGCAGTGTTGCGGAAACCTTTCGAACAATAAGAACACTTGTATGGCCTTTCACCGGTATGTAAATAACGATGTATCTTCAAATCGTATGGAATAAAGAATGATTTAGAGCAAATGTCACATTTATAAGGTTTTTCACCAGTATGATGACGATTTCTATGAATAGTTAATGTAGTTATGGTGGCACAAACATAAGAACATTCTGTACACATAAAACGTTTTTCTTTGGGTGCAACCGGTGCTGATGATTTACTAATTTCCTTCGAGTCTTTGGGCAAATGAACATTATTAATATGTACTCGTAGATTAGCTGCTTTTTTAAACTTTTTACCACAATGAGTACATAAGCTATATTTCTCTTCGGAAATGTGTACGTTTTTTTGATGGGTCTTGAGAGCCCGATAATTGTTATAAATATTGCCACATATATCACAACGTCGGGGTAAAGATCTGGTAGAAAATGTATTCACCTGACGCTTTTGAATATTAAAAATATTTCTTATAAACATTTCATCACTTAAGGCTTCTTTTTCCTCCAACATTTCGTTGTTAAAATATGGCGTTTCTAAAGGTTTAACAGGTTTTTGGGTTAAAGAAGTTTCGTCATCGCTAGAAGTGACATCAGGATTAGTGGTATTATCATCCTTATTTAGAGATTCACTGTAATTGAATAAACAACATTTATTGAAAATTAATGTAAATATATAAAACTCTGGAATATTTACCCTTGTTCCTTGTTATCAGCATCTGCTTTAAGAGTTTTTATTAATTCTTTATGTTGATTTTTCACATGCGCTATTAGGCTAAACTTTCTAAAAGTCGTGTAAGGGCAAAATTTACATTTAAATTTGTCATCTTCTGAGCCATGCTTTGAGCGATGGTGAAAACTTATAGCTGAATAATGTCTTGTCGTATAGTCACATAAATTACACTTCAGAATTCTATCCAAACGTCTTGGGATCTGTTTTCTTTCTTTAGTTCGTTGCTTGATGTTTTTCACACGTTTTAAACATTTCGTTTTATTTGTACATTTGTTAGGATACACTTGTTCCTGTTGGTTTAATCTTTGCAAATTTAAAAGTTCTCTGGGCACTTCAAAATCATGGTGTGTACGCATATGTGTTACTAAATTATCTTGTCTATTAATTGTTTTATCACATATCGGACAGACGGTATCAATTTCAATATCGTCTTGTTCCTTAATTGAAGCTGTATCTGTGTTATTTGTATTAGAGGTTGAGGAGCACTCTATTATGGTATTATTATGGTCATTTTGTTGGCTAGAAGCAAAATTATTTTAAATTTGTTTTAATCGTAATAGTATACCCAAACTGCTAAACACTTACCTTCCTTCAAATTCCTCATCTTCAATTTCATCGACATAATATTGTATGGCTCCTTCATTCTCCTCGTTTGTTTCCTCCAAAACTTCTGATTTCAGAAGAGCACTTGTACTTACTATTCTAAACTCATTCAAAACGTTATCTTGTAGATTTGCCATGCTATTGCCCTCGTCGTTATTATTTTCCTTTTTGATAGTAAGTGGGTGTTCCAGTTTACTTCCTTGTGTTGGCAATATGATGGCTTTTTCCTGCAGACTAGACAATTGTTTAGCTATAACATTTAATAGTTTATTATTGCAATATTGTGCTTGTCTTATAAAACCATAGGCGTTTCTCAAATCTCGGCAACATAATAAACATAAATATTGTGGCATGTAATGCTCATAATCCCGGGAAGGGCACTAAATTATAAGAAAATATACATTGTTTTAAAAATAAGAATTAAAATTTTAATTTGTTTAAAACTACCTCAAAATTGGCATACTTCTTTAATAGCTGTCCATAGGTGGCCTTTGGTTTGCATCCTACTACATATTTGTTAAGTGGATAGTATTTTGTACTATTTTTAAGACAAGTTCTACACTTTTTTATCGGATTTTCAGTCATTATTAAGATTTATTTATTAATTAAGAACATGAAATTATATTTTTGCAATTAAATAGGAAATCTAAGCTTTTTTGTGTTTACAAAAATTCTTGTTTTTTCTTTATACTAAACTCACTGTAAAATGTTAGCTTATTTATAAACCTTTATAAAGAGGGGAAGGCATACCTTGCGCCCTATAAGAACAGTGACATTCATTTGACCGGTTAATTGACTGACACTACTGAGAACATATCCTATTGCGTAGAACAAAGTTCCTATCAGTTTCTTAAAGGCAATATGTAAAAAATGATTGAAACATTTCTGTACAAATGTACGAGAAATATCTTTTTATATATTTAACAGGGTTATATTACAAAATGATCTGGTAACTTTAATATGCATTGTTTACAAAATTCACAAAGGAAAACAAAAATAATATGATAACAAACGAAAAAGCACAACAAATCTATAAAAATGATTGCAAATTTATTAAAATGTAATTTTATAAAAATTTTTAAAATAAAATCAGCACTTTAATAACTTATACAGCTAAACAATATCAAGACTTTTTATGATAATTATTTCAGCTGTTTTTTTGTGGTTCAGTGAATCTGTCAAAATAATCTTCCATTGTTTGTTTATGTTTACAAATTGCAAAACAAATTGAATATTTTTAACAAAATATTCAAGTTTCTGAGACAATTATTAAATTGTTCAACCAATTATCAAAAGATGTTTAAAGAATTTTGCAAAAAAATATTGGTGTTATAAGTTACAATTGGAATAGATAAATATGCGCAACTGTTGCCTTTGCCATAAAAAAGTAGACCCTGAAAATGGTACTCTTTTCAACATTCCAAAAGATGAACGCAGAAGAAAAAAGTGGAGTGAAATTTGCCGTATTCAATTCTCAACAAACTCTCGTATATGTGCCGATCACTTTTCATCCTCCGATATTATAAAAGTGTTAAATAAATGTTCTTTAACATCGAATGCTGTGCCTTTTGTACACCATGAGAATCTGTTAACAGCGTAAGTGTTTCATAAAAAATGTATTTTAATCCATTTAAAAAAGATAGTTTTTAGGGAGGAAACTAATTTGGAAATGTTGTCACAAGATGAGAATAATAAATACAATGAGAACTGTCGTTGTTGTTCAAATCCCTCGAAACGCTTTATACAACTTGATGATTTCATTAAGACAACTGAAGGAAAAGAAAAAAGTTACCGGGATCTTTTATACGAAATAATACAACTAAGTGTAAGCGTTAATATTAATATTACCTATTCTTAATATTAATTTAAAAACATTTATCCATGATGTGCTTCCTATTTATAGTTAACAACATATCAGGAAATCAATATGCCACAACAAATCTGTGAGAAATGTGTAGCTCAATTAGAAACTTGCTATAAATTTATACAGCAGGCTTGTAAAGTTTCCCGCGAATATCTTGATATAGTTGAACAACAGACTACTCAAGAGGATATTAAAAATATTGAACATTTACAAGAATCGTTAATAGAAATATCTGAAACAGCAATTGCGGAACAAATACATGAAGAACTAAAAGTTGAACCTTTAAATATTGAATGTAATATGAATATAAAAGAGGAAAATGAGGAAAGTGAAAATCTTTTACCAATGTTTGTCGACCACAATGAGGAGTCTCAGGAAGAAAGGTATGTTGGTTATTACATAAAAAAATCGATGGTCTTGCTAAAAAAAAAAACGTCCAACACGTCCAAACATGGAAATACAAGTGACAAAGTTGTACATACCTTTTGTATTAAAATAATACTTTTTTCTATTATAACAGAGATTTGTTGCAAAATTCCTATTCGGATGATCATTCTTCGGAAGAGGATGAAGAAAGTGATGAACCAGAGTCGTTAAAAGATATTAATGAGGATCTAAATGATGAAACTTTAGCTAGATGTTGTGATATATGTCACAAGATCTATAGAAATGAGAAATTTCTTAAAATACACAAACGTTATACCCATATGCCAGAAGAAGATAAATTACCCTGTCCGTTATGCACCTACAAAGCCAGTCGTTCCTCAGCTTTGAAAGTACACATGGGTTTAGTACATGGCCAGGATAAAGTTAAGGAATATTTTAAACCTGTACTGGATTCGGGTAAAAAATATCCTTGTAATTTATGCCCTCGCTCCTATGGACGTAAAGATAGTCTACGCAAACATGTACGAAGAAAACATAATAATAAACCGGCCAAAGAAGAAAAAGCGACACATAAGAAACCTAAACCAAAGGATAAAGAACGTTTTCTTTGCACCTACTGTGGACAATCATATAGTTCCAAATGCGGTCTGGAAAGTCATATACTTACACATACCGGCGAACGTCCATTTTCTTGTGAAATATGTAGTAAGACTTTTAAACGTCTAAAGGATTTACAATTACATCGTGTCATACATAGTGACGAGAAACCCCATCAATGTTCGGAATGTGGTAAAGCATTTAAACGTGTTGATAAATTAAAAATACACATGAGAGTGCATTCCGAATTAAGACCATATAAGTGTCAAGAATGTGAAAAGACTTTTAAGTATCCCAGTGTTTTGAGGACACATATGCATATACATACGGGACAAACACCATTTTCGTGCAAAACCTGTGGTGAAGCCTTCTCGTTAAGAACATCTTTGAATAATCACTGTTTGAAAAATGGTCATGTAAAGTGAAATATTATCAAAAGAAATATTTTAGTTTTAAATAAAATAAAGAAACTAAGATTATCTGACTGCTTGCCTTATCCATCGTTTTTCTTGATTTTTATTATCCAAAAAGTGAGTATTTGTACTCCATCCGACGGCGTCAACTGTGTGTTTAAGTTCTGATGGAAAATATTAGTGATAACAAATGTTAACTACTTTCCCAATTGAATCGCTATTTAAAGATTTTAGTTTTATCATATAAAAATCCATTTTTTATGAAAAATAATGATCCCAAAGGATCCATAGCCGATTTTAGGTTTTTCAAATATACAGATATTTGACATAATATTGAAGCATAGAAATGTAGCATTTTAACAAAGAGTTGTCGGAAACCCGTTGCATTTAAATAAAATCTAATAAATATTCCTTATTTAGTTCCTTGCAGCGCCAGATCTATGTATGTAGTTTTCAATTTCATGTGTATTGAAATATCAAAAAAATACCATATTTAACGGTGTTATATTAAAAAAAGATGTCTGGCAACTTTAATATGTGTGCATTGTTTACAAAATTCACAAAGGTAAACAAAAATAAAATGATAACAAACGTAAACACAACAAATCTATTTAAAATATTGCAAATTTATTAAAATGAAATTTTATACATTTTCTAATAAAAAACCAACCAGGTGAATCTGTCAAAATTATCTATAGTTTTGTTTACATGTTTATTTTTTTGTAAACAAAATATTTCTGAAGGACTTTGTGATAGACTATGGGTGTTGTACGTTACAATTGGACTAGACAAAAATGATTAACTGTTCCCTTTGCCATAAAAAAGTAAATCATAAAATGGTACGCTTTTCAACATACCAAAAGATGAATGTAGAAGAAGATAATGGAGTGAACGTTATAAACATATGCCAGAAAAAGATAAACTACCTTGTCCTTCATGCGCTTACAAAGCAAGTCATACATCAAGCTTAAAACTACATGTGGGCAAAAACACTGCCTAAAAACATAATAATAAAGATAGTTTTCTATGCACCTACTGTGGACAATCGTATACTTACAAGTGTGCATTGGAGGGTTATGTACTTACTCAGCAATTTTCTTGTGAAATGTGTAGTAAGACTTTTTAACGTTTAAAAGATTTACAATTACATCGTGTCATTCATAGTGTCGATGTTTAGAATGTGGTAAATCATTTAAACTTGTTGTTAAAATAAAAATTCATGAGGGTTAATTCCGAATTAAGACCCATATAAGTGTCAAGAGGACATAAAAAATCTGTAAAATCTTTCAATCAAGACGAGTACGCGAACACACATACTGTGTTGCGATCTTAAGATAGTCCAAAATGATATATCTCACATCGATAATAGCATTGTTTTGGATTAAAATTGAGTTACATGACTGCTAGTATTATGTTCTTTTATTTTTAGAGCAATCTTTCTGAAATTGTAATTATTAGCTTTTTATGGTTTCATAAAATTTAGAATAAAATACACTATTATAAGTTTTACCTTAATTTCTTTTTTATTCTTAATAATAATAATATCTTATAAATTATTCTTAACTCTAACATCCTCTTCTCGTTTAGCTCATTACAAATGACCATTTCTTAAACAATGAGTATTAAATGATGACCTTAAGGAAAATGATTCACCACAAGTTTTGCACTGAAACGGATTTTGACCGGTGTGTATAAGCATGTGTGTACTTAAGACATTGGGATATTTGAATGTTTTCTCGCATTCATTGCACTTATAGGGACGCAATTCCGAATGGACTCTCATATGTATCTTCAGCTTATCGGAACGTTTAAATGCCTTGCCACATTGTAAACACTGATGTGGCTTAGCATCACTATGAATTATACGATGCATATGTAAATCCTCGGGACGTTTAAAGGTTTTCTGACAAATTTCACAGGGGAAGGGACGTTCGCCGGTATGTATAACCACATGACGACTGAGGCCGTATTTTGTGCGGAATGAGCCACCACAATAGGTGCAGAGAAAACGTTCTTTTTCCTTGGGAACTTTGGCCTTTATGCGTGGTTCCTTGGGCTGGGGATTTTGGTGAATACGTTTGATGTGTTTCTGTAGAGTGTCTTTGCGACGAAATGTTTGTTGGCAAATAGAGCAGGGAAATTGTACACCATTATCATCGACCGGCTTGAAAATCTCCTTTACCTTATCGGCCCCATGTACAACACCAATGTGTACCTTTAAATTGGAAAGACGACTAGATTTGAAGCTACACAAGGGACATGGTCGTTTCTTTTCATCGGGCATGTGCGTATAGTGTTTGTGGGTCCTTAGAGCTACTCTGTCTTTATAGATCTTATGACAAATATCACAAGATATGGCTATAGGCGCTTTAGAAAGATCTTTATCAAAATCATCTTCAGAAATAGGATCTTCAGCATCCTCATCATCTTCCGAATCAGAGTTAAATGT